CTTGTCGCCAGAATCGCTCAGAGAGCATTGGATTTTCTCCAGTTTCATAAATGAAAGCGCATCTTTTATCCATCTGAGATGAGTGGGGGGATGATGGCTCTTCCACATCATCAAAATAATACGCCTAGCCAGCAACATCAAGAACGCCACAAAGTTAGCAAAATAGGCTGGAAGAGAAAGACCCTGTGACAAAACTCCAAAGAGGGCAGTCACAGGAGATGGCTGAACATTGACAGATGTGGAACTGCAGTTTTTGACAAGACCAGGGAAGATGACAAACCAGCTCTTTCAATGGATGATCGCATCTTTCTGGACATCCTGAATAGAGAAGTTTATGAAGACGAAGGCAACAGCTGGGTGGCACCATTACCATTCCAGTCCCCCAGACAGTCCCTTCAAAGTAACCGAGAGAAAGCTATAAAGCGTCTTTGTAGCATTGAACAGAAAACCTGACATGAAGAGGCAGTACAATGACTTTAAGCAGAAAATGCTTGAAAATGATCATGCCGAGCCTGCTGTTCCACTGGAGAAACAAAGAACACTGGTACATCATGTAAGTACTTATCATCATAGTGTATACCATCCCCAAAAACCTGATCAGTTGAGAGTGGTGTTTGACTCAAGTGCTGAATACAAAGGAGTGTCCTTGAACAAGGTGCTGCTTAGTGGCCCTGATTTAAACACCCTTTAGGGGTTTGCCTACATTTCAGGAAAGAAGCCATAGCGTTCACAGCTGATGTGCAGCAAATGTTTTATTGTTTTTTGGTACAAGAGGATCACAGGGACTACCTCAGATTCCATTGGTATGAAGACAATGATCTCAACAAATATGTCGTGGACTACAGAATGAAAGTTCATATGTTTGGAAATAGTCCCTCACCAGCAGCGGCTATTTATTGCATGACACATGCTGCAGCTGACGGTGAGAAAGAACATGACGCTGATGCAAAGCAGTTTGTTGTAAGACATTTTTATGTTGATGATGGCCTTGCATCTTCACCCACCCATGAGGAAGCTATTGAAATCTTGGCAAGAGTACAAAAGATGCTGGTGGAGATCTCCAACATCTTTAGATAGCAAGATTGTATGTCTTCTCACAGTCTATCGCCCAAAGAAGAGAGCTGTGCATATTTTTAGATGCATCCACATTCGCAGTTGGAGCTGTAGCCTACTTAAGAGCTATCAACAGTGAAGGACAGAGCTACAGTGCATTCATCACGGGCAAATCAAAACTCGCTCCACGGCCTGCACAGACTGTCCCAAGACTAGGGTTACGTGCAGCTGTTCTTTCTGTGGAACTGTATAAACTAGTGAGAGATGATCGACATTGATGTGGATGCTATCAAATTCTATACTGACAGTAAGATACTCCTTGGTTACATACACAACACTTCCAGGAGGTTTTACACATATGTTGCCAACCGAGTGACTCGCATCTGCAACTCTACATCCGGTGCAGTGGCATTATGGGCCTTTCAGACAGACTGCAACGACCGCACTGCTGCGCTGTGAAATGGCTTGCGCACCGTAATGGTGCTTGCTTTAGTTGTAATTGTTCTCACTGTGCAGCGTCAAATCTTCAAAGAAGAATACAGATGTCTTGAAATGACGCAGGCCTTGCCAAAGCACAGTCCACTCAAAAAGTTCAACCCTATCATTGATGAAGATGGATTACTCAGGGTTGGTGGTCGTCTGGCACCTGCATGTGTGACAAAAGAAGAGAAGCAACCACTTATAATCCCCCGTACACATCACATTGCCACTCTTTTGGTGAGATACTACCAAGAGATGGTGGCACACCAGGGACGTCTTATCACAGAGGGAGCAATCAGAGCTGCATGATTGTGGATCATTGGAGGCAAAGTCTCATCAGTTATATACAAATGTGTCATCAGTGGTAGGCTCAGAGGAACATTACGGATTCAGAGAATGGCAGACTTAACAGCTGACAGACTCTCTCCAATGCCACCCTACACCAACGTGGGTCTTGACGTTGTTGGTCCATGGATGGTAATGACACGTCGCACAAGAGGAGGCAGTGCTGACAGTAAAAGGTGGGTGGTGCTTTTCACATGTATGGCAACAAGAGCTGTGCACAGTGAGTTGGTTGAATCCATGTCCACGTCCAGCTTTATAAATGCAATGAGAAGATTTTTCTCTGTATGTAGACCTGCAAAACTTACTAATTTTATTGGTGCATGTAAAGAGTTGAAAATCAACCACAATGACGATGTGATGTGATACATAAATAATAAGAAGAAAGAAAGGTTACGCCTTGAGTTTATCAGAGGACTTCACACTGTTAGCTAACTGTCTAGCATTGAAAAATATGCAGGACAGTAAAACACTGCTTTTTTCCGTGATGATTATGCCAATATGCCGGTAATGCTGTGGAGACGAAAAACGGTTTGATTTGATCCGCCTCAGAGCTGGGAACATTGGTAGTAACACAGCAGCTAGAGGAACATGTCTGTGTGAAAAGCCCCAGCCGGCATGCCAGTGTTTCCGAGCACACACCTAATTGCAGTCTTAAAACCGCACCGCTAGTGGCCGCTAAAAACTACATATTACCCATTTAAATCAAACCCCAATTAAGAAAAATAACTTTCGTTTGAGGTCTGTGAAGATTCTCACTCATCCAGGTTATAGTTATCCAAAGAAGGTTCAAGTCAAGGGCAACTGGACTTGGTTGAAGATGGTTTGAAAGAGGTGTCAAGGAATCCATCTACACCCAGGTTAGCTTGGGCTTATTGCAACTGCAGTGAAACCAAATGTTTTTTGTTTTGTTTGTTTTTTTTCTAAATGTGGGCTTGAATCTGGTCTATGACAGGAAACACACGCCTCTCTCAATAACCATTTTACCCCTTTAATTGGTTATAAGGCAAGACAATTTATTACTTCATCATTTGTCAAATAGAAATTGCCTTAACCTGAAATATAGCCATAATGTTTCCTTTTGCCCACCTGGCCACATCACAAATGACCACACTGACCAAAGCAAATGGAAGCTTGTGAGCTTGTGATTGTAACTAACCCCATTGTCTATCCAACACTGGACACACGTCTAAGCACACTAACTCCTCTGTGTGAAGCTCCTTCCACAATGAGGCCAAAACAGGACAGAAGACCATGGGAAATGAAGCATGGCTAATTCTATTAGCACGGGGACACAAACAATCTGTGGGGAATCAAAGAAGAAGGAAACATAATCCCAGTGGACCCACTTCCTGCTGCATTCCTGCACTTGATATCCAAACCACACACACACACCCAACCTCAAGGCCTGGAGATGGTTTCATCTAGTGAGGTTCAAGTAGTCCATATTTTCCATATATCACATTAGTATCAATCTCTCTGCCCCAGTCACTCTTTTCTTTCTTTAATTCTTTTCTTTTTTTCTTATTCAGCTTTTCGGCTGTTCTGTGCCTCAGTCTATGGGGAAAGGCCGGGCACAAAGCTCTCTCGCTGAGGGACCCTTATGGGACAAAGCTGGCTTTCTGGGCTTTCTGCATATATGCATGCCATGCAACACAATGAGGCCTTTATTAGAGTAGCCAGCACTTTTGAGCTGGAGCGGCAGGGATGAGGCAGGGAAAGCTGTGACTGATACTGGGCGCTAGTGTGTGTGTGTGTGCACTTCCCACCTCATGCCCATGCATGCATGTGTGTCACAGAGGTGTAAAGTGGAGGCTCTCACGCTTACTTCTTCAGTCAACTAATCAATCTCTGCCCATCCAAAGTTTATTCTCAGAGACAGATTTCTTATGCCATATGGTGTCACGCAGTAGATACATGGAAAATGTGTGAGCTTTTCAGAATCTTCAGCCTCCTGTCGTCATACATCTGCATCTAAAGCAGGCAAAACAACATGCTGTGGCCTGTAGCTGCAATCAAAAAACTGCTTTGAGCAAACCCTCAAACAGTGTATCTCTGTGCACTTGACTAACTTTACAATACAGAAATCAGGCCTCTAGACTGAGCGCCTCTGCGTGTGTGCGTGCATGTGTGCAAGTGTATGTAGTGTGCACTTGTGTGCGTGTGTGTTTGTGTTGAGAGAGAGAGGACTGTGATTTAATCATGCGTGAAGAGGATTTTCTGTTCAATAGGAGCTGCACACTTGCATACTTGCATTCTAATGACTACATGTGCATAATCATACAACCAAGTAACGATGCACAGATGTGGATGTACACGCACTAACACACACACACACACACATCTCTGAGTGCCACTGTTTCTGATGGGAAAAAGGGGGAAACGGGGGGGAGAGAGAGAGACACCTAACTTGTAGATAATATAGTGTAAGTGTGTGGTTGCCACGTATCATGCATCACATCAGTGTGATAGATGATAAAGGCTTCAGATGGACAGTTCTAGTCACAGCTGTAAGGGTGTTTGGATATGGTATATTGCTACCATTCAACCATGCAGCTAGTGTCGGGTTTTTCAAATATGCCTGAACAAGATGAAGCATGGACAGCACTGCTCTCACAGTTTTTCTTAACTACTGACATCATGAAGTGTAATACTGTGTTAAAGCATCAGAGCTTGCATAAAATAAAAAAAGGATGTGAAATTCGGTCTATCTCATTATATATGTTTTGAGTCAGGTTGCAAAGACAGATGGATGCAGATGGATTCTGTACATCACTCTGCACCTCACACACACACACACACACATGTAAAACATTCATCTGGAATCGTCTCTCTCTCTTTTTTCTCACTCTCTCTCCTCTCTTTCTTCACTCAGTAAAGCTGGAGTTGTTGTTCTGAGTGGTAAACATGTGCTAAGGGGTGGGGGGGTGAATGGCTAAGTTTTCTTTTTATCCAATAAAAATGTCTCCTTGCCAGATCGATTGTTGTTGCTAGGAGACTGAAGCATCCTTTGGCAGCAAGGGGCTACAGCTCTCCACGTCTGTTGTTTCCCTCCCCATCTCTTTCTCTCTCTTTCTCTCTCTCTCACACGCACGCACGCGCGCTCACACGCACACATCCATGGAGCTGGCGCGCAGAGCAGTGGCGCCCATCCTCTCTCTCTCAGTGCGACTCCTCCGAGGGATCAGGAGTAGACTAAGTCAAACTTCCAGCAGCTTAAGATTTGTGCGCAATCTTTAAGAGGTCCAAGTCGTCAAGGTAGGTCAAATATAACATTTTCCTTTCTGGTGGGCAAGTGTGTTGCAGTCTTAGATTTTCGGGTTTGTCGACAGAGTGCAGTGAAAAATTGTCAGTCCGGGACCGTTCGAGCGCACGTCAGCCAATCCTACGGTGGGGAACAATTTGCTTTGAACTTTGCGCAGGATTTAAACACCCAGTTGTACTGCGTAAATGTGGTACCCTGTGTATTTCTTTTAATCAGATGCTCGTACTGATCGCGGGCTGTGATAAAGAAAAAAGCCCTTGTAGCTAGTCTCTGCAGCAGATGCATGATAAAGATACAGAAGGTGAAACAAAGAGTATCTGCAGTTGCGTATTTTATGCTGCCTGGAGAAGTTATTTAGGTTCAAACAGACCGCACTAAGGCATGTCCCGCGGCTTTAAGCTTTCTGGGGAAAAGATGGGTGCGTAGTGCGTCTCTGTAAACAGGCGTACAGGTGGATCTGATAGCCGCATCTGGTCACTGCTTATCGGTGACACGACTTTCCCTTCGCAGCCACTTCACGGCTTGCGCCAGAGGAGAGACGCGTGGACCCGTACTAACGGTACAGCATGACCATCACCTCCATGTCCATATCAGATGTATACGGACACAGACTTTGGACCAGCAGTTTCATCATTTCCACTGGCAGTCAAGCTTTGCGGTGTGATAGAACTTAGACTTGGATGAACATATTCCTGCATAAAAGCCACATGTTGTTCCTCCCCAAAATAATTTTACCTTGCACTCCAACTCCAAATAATATATTTGAATTCTGAAGACCACCGAAAAATGCAGGCAGGTGTGTCTTTGTAACGCTCAACAGTAAGCTTATACATTTTGTACATAGTGTTCAATTATGTTCTTTTTTAAAGAAATACATTTAGTCATGCTTATATCTCAGTATCTCCTTAGTGATCACAACTGGCAAGGATTTTATGCACACCTCAGAAGGTGTGAAGACACCATATTTCCTGCCAAACACCACCCATAATAAAGTCTACATTGATGTGCCCAGCAGCCACTGAATAACTTTGGCTAGGGGTTAATGCACATTGTTTCTTTGTTCCTACATCAAAAGGTAAAATTGTACTGAAATGTCATGCAGCAGACAAGGATAACATCACATTCCCGTTTTTGGAGTCACATATTTGCATAGAAAACTGAAATTATATTTTACAAGATTTTACAAAATCATGGTGCTATTTTCCTCTGTAGTAATTACTTACCATGTAACTGTATTGTAATTGCAATATCAACATCAGAGGATAGGGTTACAGTAAGAGTAATGAGAATTTTGAATGAATTCATCTTTATGTGCTCTATTAGAGAGGAGTGAAAGAACAAACATTTACTCAGAGGAGGGGTGTTCAGTGCCTGTGCTGTAGACATCTGAGGCTTGGTCCCATAGTAGACATACAAATAATAGCAATAATAATAATAATGCATTTGTTGTGCAGACGTAGGTAACAAAAGAATTGAATGAAGAATTCACGTAATTTTTCTTTTCTTTAGGGGTGGGGTCAACATGTGTGTGCATACATGTACATGTGCGCCTGTGTGTGTAAAATGACAATTACTTCACAGAATAATTTCAGATATTTATGTTTACTATATTTTACAATGTTGAAATCTCTGTATATGCTAGTTGGTTTTTATTACTTTTTGCTCTACTGATGCACTGCACTGTGTTTGTGAGTATACATGCAGATTTCATGTTTTTGTGCACACGTGTGTAACTTGTTGCATAATTCAGTGTAATTTCATACATTTGTTCATTCACACTCACTGATGTACAATATTTACATCAGTGAGTGTCTGTGTGTGTGTTTGGAGGGTCAAATGCTGTGTGGGAGGGAGCCGTAAGTGTGGGTGGGCATTTAAATCTTAATGACATATATGTGGCATGTGTGTTACAAGAATGTGCATCTCTGCGCAAGCCAGGGGACAATTGTCTGTCAGTGAATGTATTTGGCCTTGAGTTTCAGCATTTTTGTGCCAATAAATGTGCTTAAATGAGCTGTGTGTGTGTGTGTGTGTGTGTGTGTGTGTGTGTGTGTGTGTGTGTGTGTGTGTGTGTGTGCCCAAATGGTCTTCCACACAGCACCACTCACTGGTCTACATGCAGAAAAGAACCTCATCGTTAACAGTGTTAGCACAGTGCATAGGAAAAGGAAGCTCTTGCAACAGCGATGTCTTCTAGTTTTATTGAATATGTGAATTGGTTGAGGAGTTAGTATGTGTGGATGTAAGTGTGTAATTTGGAAGCGGATGTAAGTGTAGGATTTGGAAGCGTAAGCAGTGCTGATTGTAGATCATCATGGGGTAATGGTTTTCCTGATAGTCTCCGATTATTGATTTTTATCTGTTTAGCGATGTGTTGATAAATCAGACAACTTTAAAAGAAAAGCTTTGTCCAAACAGAACCTGGCAATCTGTTTCATCATAACACAGTAAGAAAAGTTCAGTGATGTCTTGTTGGCTACACACAGCCCAAATTTAAATCCTGAGTTAAAGTTAAGCAAGGAGAACAAACAGTCAGTTCTAGCCACAAAAAACGTGAAGGCCACATGTTTCTGTGCAAGGGAGCTCTCTGTACACAGACATTAACATACTAATCTTTTGAGAATGAAATAGGAAAACTAACTGTAATTGGTTCGCTGTTTTATCATTTACGGAGCACAGTGGCAACCATGGTCAGCTCGAATTCATGTCAGTTGCAGTCAATGCTAATGGTGACTTGTTTTCACATTTGAAAAAACATGTCCAATTATTTGTAGACATTTTTGACAGCACACTTTGTACCTTGCAAATGCTTTGTAAGGCACTTAAACATATGTAAACACACTCACATTGTCCATCATGACTGAGTTGGAGGTGTGTTTAGCTATTTATTGGTGAAAATATCAGTGTATGGAACATACATTAATTACTGAGCAAACTTTAGACAGCAAAACAAATTTTGTTATGCTGCGAGAGTGCTTTCTGAAGTTCTCTGGACATTTTGTCACTATTGGAATTCATTTTAACGCAAATTGCAGCTGACCACATGTTCCATGAAGGACAAAACATTTTACAGAAACCTTTTAAGCTAACAGGGGTTGATTGATATTTCAAAAAACTCCGGGTGGAGCCCAGAAAATCTTCCATCTTTTTTTTACATTTCTTGGATGTGGCCACTGGTAGTGCTTCAATTTACACATCTTTCTCTGAGGTGTGTTACAACTAGAGGATAGAGTAATTTATCCAAACCTCTCAGAGCATATGGTACTTCATGTGCAGAAGCTCTGGCAAGAAGGTGGCATGGTCACTTCATCCAGATAAAAGTATGTAATGGATCAATGTAAGGACCAACATAATGCCCCATACCAATTATACTACTATTGATGGGATTATCGTGTGGGAAAATATGTATATTGTTAACATTCGGAAAGCATATTTTTAGCATATGAGGTGTGTTAGAAATGTGTTACACCATTTAACTGTATAATTTCAATATATTTATGTGATTTAATATACAATGATATATTTTATTTTTGCAGTCCTTAAGATGTTGTCAGTGTCGTCTGAAGTACAGTAATTAAAAGTAGATTTAAATATTTTCCTGACTTAAGCTGTACTTTGGTATACTTATTGAAAGCATGCTACTTTAGAGTAAACCTGTATAAGTGCTTGAGTCTATGTGCTACTTTTAATAGTTAATTTTTACTCAGTGTACTCTAATTAATTATTACTACTGTAACTTAATTCTGAAGATTTGTACTTCACCTATGAACCTGTGGTAAGTCCTGCTGTTGTTGAGGATTTTTCAGCTACCCTTTAGTATGGTTGTTACTTGGTTAGGGTTGAAATATTAATTTCATTCACTATATTTCATGTAGTACTATATAGTAGCATATTGAAAAGTACTGAAACTTTTGCTTACCTTAAAACCACTATGTGCAGAAACTGCATCTTTCAAATTTTAAGCAACTGGTGCAGTCTTTGGGTTGCCATCAGCCAGTCATCACGGTAGTGCCGCGCTGTGAAATGAGTTTCAGATTCTATACATAGTGCCTTCTGTAGTTTTTAATGCTGTCTATACAAAGGTATGTGTGTAAATATGCTGGTAAGTACATGAAGATTCATGAGCCCACAATGCATATGTAATCAATTAATAATAATTTATCTATCACTATTACTTAATAATAAAGTATTCATGAGATAATGTATCTGTTCAGCATTTAAAATGTTTTGCAAGAACATTTAGCAAATGTTTACAGATGCTTAGTAAAACAAGGCAAAAATACAAAAACAATGTTGTGCATACTACCATTACCATTGGTGATTCTGTTCCCTATTTCACATTTATAATCAATTTTATAAGTTAGCAGTGTGTTCTAAGAGTGTTTCTATGAATACTGTTGAAGCTCTACAGGTGTTTCTGAGAACAGCATGTAAGAGCTTCTTAATGTTGCTGTCCATGGTGCTGAATTCATTTAAAAGTAACATGAATGATTTAACCCTTTGGTAGCAGGTTTTACATACATTATGCAATTAACATCACATTAAACACTGTGCTTAGAATGGTCACACTGACTACATTATAAAAACTGGATGATGAATTGACCTTTTTCAGTCTATTGTTTCTTGTTCTTTTTCATGTGTTTACCAGTGCTGAAGACCAGGAGGTGGAAACATGGGATATAATGTCAGTAGAGTCAAGAGGAGTCTAATACACTAAAAAAAACTGGTAGGTAATAGATCATAATTACACCTCACTGTCACATTAACGTCATCAGGAACATTTTTGTCCTTCACGCAATGTAAAAAAAGATTCATCCATAATGATACAATCATCTTTATCTGTGCGACTCACACCATCCATATGAAATGGTAAGGGTTTCACTTTGTTGTGACCTCTTTCCAAAATGAATTAGAACGTTCAACTTCCTGACAAGCAATTATGTGTTATACACCAGTACTGTTCATGCACTGATAAGGCTTTTATGCTCAAACGTGCCAAGTTTTTTACCTTTCACAGCAGCATCAAGGATTCAGCCAAATGTTCATACCAACCCGGTTTAAAGGAGCACTCCACCAGTTTAGAAAGATGTTGGAATTTGAAAGAGTCTAAGAAATTGAGGGGCATCATGGACTTAACATTTTTGGATTTACTGAGGACTTAATATGATTTAGATGGCATAATTGGATGTAAGACAGTACATGGGAAATTATATAGTGGCATGTAACAGCTCTGCAACAGTGGCCTAAAATGCCTGCTTGTTGTAGAGGAATTGAAGAAAAAGTTAAAGAAGAGTTAAGACAAAAATGTGTTGTTGCTGTTATAAACGTGATAATAAAAAAGCTTGACTCCCATGGTGCTCTGTACATTGTCAAACAGAGGAGCAATGAAAGACTTATTATTACCTACAAGTAATGCTGCAAAATAGTCTGGCTACAGTATATTTACTAGGGCACTGTTATATAAAATAAACTATTGATATTGTGATATATAGCTGAAATTGCCAGGAGGATCTCTACATTTTCAGTTAAAGCAACAGGTATATGTGGTCTGTTGTAGCTGTCCTGCAAAAGATCTCCATGTTAATTAACTAGGGAAGCATGTGCTGAAACTCTGATCAATCCATGATGCCACTGCAAGTGTTGAAAAGTGTTTTTGTTAATCACATCTCTGAAAAATAAGATTCACTACAAGGGACTATCCAACGAAGGTTAAAATGAAGGGCAACTGGACTTGGTTGAAGCTACTGGAAGACGTTTCGTCCCTCATCCAAAGGACTTCTTCAGTTCTGACTGACTGGCAGGGAAACTCAGCTATTTAACCTCAGTGGGGTCGTTGGCCTGGGTCATCGATACCGCTGGTTCGTTAGTGTTCCTTGTTGCTGTGACGACAGTCGTTACAGTCGTTAAGACTACCTGTGGCCAAGACCATCGTTGGTATCTTCACCTGAGGTCAATAGGTTACGTTTGTTGAGTTTCCTGGGAAGTGATGAAAGGACAGCATTGTAAGTGGGGGATAAGTGGTGGCGTAGACCCCCTCCCCTGTTCAATGACGGCTTCTTGACCCTGGTGTAGATGGTTTCCTTGACACCTCTTTCAAACCATCCATCTTCTCTGTCTAAAATGTGCACCTGGTGGTCCTCAAACGAGTGTCCTCTGTCCTTCAGATGTAAGTAGACTGCAGAGGGACTACAAGGGACTATGTCTTTCATTCTGATCATGAAGGCTCCCTGAAGTTCTTGGCTTTCAAGTTTTTTTTATTTTTTGTATTACTACTGTTGCTCCGCTCCACATGTTTCTTACACTGTTATGCTCTACTGAGGAAACAGGGAAGGGTCTGGATATCACTGCTGCTTCCCACAGCTCACCTCTCATCAGCAACAAGAGTCACAACACAAAATGAGGTGCACACACATACACACACATTGTTAGCGCTGTCTGTTCACTGACATCCATCCTTCCCTACATGAGCAGACATTCACACACAAAATACATACACTCAGGGGATGAGGCAGTGAAAGGGCAGTGGGATGTACAGCTGTGATGGTGTGTCTCAGAGAGAGATCTGACTCTTTAATAATTGATGAGCATGAGGAGGGAAGCAGTGGCAGTGTGTGCGTGTGTGGGTAAGGGTAAGTCTCCAGGAAATGAATGTAAGTCTATGAAGTGTCCCCAAAAGTGACATAAGTAAAAATGTGTGTGTATGTGTGTGTGTGAGATGGATAGTAAAATGCGTCTCACTGATACACAGTGGCCACTGTCAATACAAAGTGAGATCCTGAAAGTTACAGAGTACAGGTAACTCAGCAGCAACACGCCCAGAAACATTTAATGTCTGTTAAAATGACAAAGTTGCCATTCTATATCTGGTGACAGCTGTTTTAACTGACTTTGGTGAAACAGTTGAGAAATCTAATAATCTAAATTTTGAGATGAGCGATCAAAAAATTTAAAATAACAATACAAACCTGTGCATATATGAGTTATATTGTTACATATCCTATTTGGCGGTGGTGTTGGTTTTATACTTGTGTGAGAGTTTTAGTGATATTACACCAAACAAATTAAGGGTTAGGATGCTCACTTACTATCTTACTTATTTTTTTTTAATTATTGTTTCAGGCCCAAGGCTATGCAGATGCATAAAGCTCTTCACTACAACTTGTATGTATAAACATATGTGTTAAAAACAGTCCAGACATTAGCGCTGCGTTTCAGTTGAAACTCTTTGCTTTTGTTTTGTTTGTTTCTTTTGTCATTAATATGTTAATTATTTTATTTTTTTTGAGATACACTAACACAAGACAACAGAAAATGAATGACAACTTAGATGCAATTTTCAAAAGAAATTATACACACACATCCTATTGGAAAATGCCAGACAACACGGTTTTGTCACTTTGACAGATGAAACGCTAGGCCATGTATTTCAATACAATAGGTTGAGCTTGTTGCGCTGCGCTGCAGAAGGAGCAATCACTATCTTAATTATGATGGCAAATCCAGGGCTAATGCGGGAGAGCAAATCGAAAAGTTAGTACATTACTTGCATTCTGATAATTAGTGAGGAATGACTGCAGTAATTGTTTTATTTACACATCACCACCTAACCTGAATCAACCAAAACCAACCAACATTATTTCTACCCAAGAGTCTTGTGTCTCTGCCCAAACCAATTATATTTAGTCTTCTAAGTTTCTAAAGTATTGTGTGGCCAATCCTCGTCATTACTCTCTACCTGTCAATTGTAAAGCTCTGTACAACTCATGTATCGACCGCAGTGACGACAAGCTGGCGGGGTGTGAAAGTGAATTAAGTAGGATGCAGCACCACCCATCCCATGTAGAGGTTGACTGATGCTTCGTGATGACTCCCAGGGTCATTACATGTCAGTTAAGTTGATAGATGCCATCCACAGAGAGGTAATTCTCCTTCTGACAGACCCAACCCCCTCTACAGTGATGAAATGCGGATCTGATAAATGCTTTTACACATTTCCATGACCCTGTTTTTTAGGCTGCCATTTTTAATCATGCCATGTCAGATGAGCTGAGGGCCAGACTGTGAAGAGAGACAACTGACTGAAAGTCATTTGGAAGATTTAACAGATACATAAAATTATTTATTGATATTTCATAACACTGGATGTTAACCATCTCTCAATTATTTTTCAATTTTAGTCAATAATTCAATTCTATTCAATTCAGTTTTATTTATATAGCACCAAATCACAACAACAGTTATCTCACAGCGCTTTTCATAAAAGAGCAGGTCTAGACCATACTCTATGATGCAATACAATAAAATGCCAGAGGAATATTAAAGCAATATCCATCACAATTTCCCAGAGGCTGAGGTGATACTTGGGGTGGTGATGGCGCAATGGATAAGATGCCTGCCTTTGGTGGGAGAGACCTGGATTCAATCCCCCACTGTGACCCATCCACCATTGTGTCTCTGAGCAAGATACTTAACCCCTAGTTGCTCCAGAGGCGTGCGACCTCTGACATATATAGCAATTGTAAGTCGCTTTGGATAACAGCGTCAGCCAGATGAGTAAATTATATTTCAAATAGCTTGTTTTGTGCGACCAATAGTCCAAATTCCAAATGCATTCAATTTACAATGATAAAAACAGAAAATCCACATATTTAAGTTGTTTGGCATTTATCCTTGATGGATGATGAAATTGAAATGTAATCAAAATTATTTATTAATTGTCTGTGAATTATTGCAGTTAATTAACAGTCCTCATGTTTCAAATAATTTTTGGAGGTCTCACTGTAGGGAAATGTTCTGTGCAGAATAGTCCACAATTCTCCCGCTGTAGATTTTATGCGGTGCTTAAAGGTTAAAAGCTCTTTTAGTAGAGAATCCCGATGGAGTACCCTCTGCACACGAGAGCACTGTTTAGTTTGTCTGCCCCTGAAGCGCACCACTTCCTGTATGGGTTAAATCCAATTTTCATTATAAATGTACTTCTTCATCTATTACAGTATGTGAATTGCACCCTACAAAAAATGGAAATACGTTTTTTTTTTGTTAAGCAAAGATCAGTGGTATATATTTCAGCTGTCTGTAAGGTCCAGGAAATCCATTTCTATGCTTCTAACATGATAAGGCCTTTAACCCTTGAACCTAATGCAGGTCACGAAATGAACTGATTAGTCTGGTTTCTACATGACTTTGTGAGCGGAACATTGATAGTCATCTGAGATCTGAGTACCTGATTGTTGATTTTCTATTGGTAATTAGTAATACAAGTAGTTTAACCAAAGTAAACCATTGTCACCCTACACAGAAGTACATACATTCCAGATCCTTTTTTCAGTGACTGGACAGAACCTACACTTAGGTTTTTTTTCACCACATGTGCTTGCTTTAAAATGATCAAGCAAAGTACATAATGTCTCGCTGGCTGTTTGGCTGTTTTGTGATATGTTACTGTCCTATTTATGGATCATCAGTCATTCCTGCCTAAAATGCACTTTGTAAATAATTAATGGTCACAGCCCATTGCACCCGTTAGACTGTCAGAAGTCCAGGACACCATGTCTACACACACGCACGTAATTGTTATGTGGGTGTCAAAATAAAAGTAGTACACTTCACACCTTTTGAAAAGGTCTACACACACGCTGTCTCCCACAATTCATGTGCCTTCAATTCACATTCCCTCAGTACTAATGAGCAGCACTGGCCATAATCTCTCAAAAAGAGAGGGAGAGATAGAAGGAGACAGAAATGGAAAAAGAGCGAAACACACAAAGTAACTGGATGAATTAACTGATAAATCTTTCATAGTGTGCACATCTAATGAGGGGTCTGTTCTATAACAAAGCTTCTGATACCACATCTCCCAAAAAAAATGTAAGAACTCACACACATGCACATACTGTCTCCCCATACTGTGAGATTCATGTCATTGGTTCAGCTGTGGGTTTTGTGAGGTTCACTATAGACAGATAAACAAGCACATACATACACACACACAAGAACACACACACATAGAGGAAAGAAAACACAGAGAGGGGGCTGGGTTGTGGGGCTATCTCTCCTCTCAGTGTACTGCGGTCCATCGACCCTGCATGGCTGCTCTCAGCTGGATACGTGTCATCCACAGCAGCCCTGCCTGTTAAGGGGAGAGCAAGGGCGGTGGAGGGTGTGAGGGAGCTGGAAATAAATGGGGAGAGTGGATCTCCAGCGAGGAGGCTGGGAGATTGGAGAGGAGGAGAGGAGGAAAGGATGCAGGGGTGATGCCATGCAGGAAACGGGACGAAATACGCAAAAGAGGAGTGTGGTGGTGTGTATGCAGCCTACTCACTGACTTGAGATTTGAACAGGGTCAGAGGTGAAATGGGGTTGTCTGTCAGATGTTACTCTAAATCATAGCTCCCAGGGAGATGGGTCAGTAGGCAGCCTCTTCCTTTTTCTGATCCTCTATCCTCTTCTCCTACTGACAGCCAGGCTGTTGTTTACTCACCTCATGTACCCCATCTCTCTTTAATTAGGTGTCTGCAGTGATGTTGCCATGTACCAGCTGCCATCTGCTCTTATCCTTCTTTATTCAGGTAAGACATGTAATGCCTATAGGTTATATGTATATGTAATAAGTAAAAATTTATCTTAATATGTTGTTCGTTACTGAATTTACTGGTAGAATCTGAAAGTACATAAGGAGATCAATACCACTCCCATATCTATCCATTAAGTGTAAGGCTACAGCCAGCAGCTGGTTATCTTAGCTTAGCTTAAATACTGGAACAGGAGGAAACCAATAGCCGCTTTTCGACAGCGTTTAAAAATGTTGCCCAAACTCTGAACAATCCTTTTAAAGGAACATAGTGTGGTTACATGATTTACAAATCACATGTTGGGCTTATTGCCATAGCTGACAATATGGGGCAGATAATAAAAAAAATATTTCTGGGTACATTTTACTACCCAGTTAAAAACGTTTTTTATTTATGAATGAAGAATACTTAAGATCAAACAAACACTGGCCACACCGTAAGAGACAGAAACATGCAGTATTGTCACATAAGGTCACCACAGGCACCATGCACTAAATATAACCAGCTGTTAACCACAGGAAGCTCTCACATTTGAGGTTTAAGAGTTGAAATTCAACTATTCCAATTTCACTTTATCCTTTTACAGTCTAATGTTTGTCTTCTAGGTTTGATTTCCTGACTGCATAGGTTCTGAATGTAATGTTGTCCCTAAATCTCAAATCTTGAATGTCTTCTTTCCTATTTTTATGCTTAAGACTGAATTTCCAGCCAATGGCGTTACTTTGTCAAAATAATGTGTTTATTTTGGTTTATTGTATATCTTAAGCAAGTTTAAGGCCCTGATCCATATTCCATGAACTAACATGATGTGCAGCCAGTGGCCTCCTGAAGGGATTGAAAAATGCATTCATTATCTGATGTAAGCCGTGGAATCCTTTGGAAAATTGTAAAGCAGTATTTTATTTTATATAAGTAGTTTATTTGCTTCCTATTAAAAGGGCTCAAACAGGCAAAAATTCTATGACCTTTCAAATATATGTGATCTATTCATAAGTCAAGTTCACTGTCCCGTACTTTATCCTGTTTGGCAATATTTTCTGAAATAAAGAAAAAGGGACAAAAAGTAGTGAAATAGTTCTTGTTTCATAGTGTGTGTTTTGCTCACCCAGTTGCTCTTGAGACAGAAAGCTGGGGGTTATTATGAAGCAAACATTCAATTTCAGTGGTGTAAAAGTGCTGGTAGATATTACTGTATTTGGCACAATTCTGGGAAAGTGACTTCAAGAGCTGCCACTTACATTAAAGCATACTGTCAAAGTAAGGCACTGAGTGAAACTGTTGTTCAAGTCTCAGCTTCATAAATATACCATTTTATGTGGCACAACACACACTTTTATGTGTATGTACGCAAATGCACACACACTCAAAAAAATTAAAACGCAGCCACATCTGCAGCTTTGTTGCAGTGTTGTCCTCAAAACTGAGCTCATTACATTACAAGTTTCCCTTTGTGTTACTTTCAAAGTGGCCTCTAATAATGATGTAAGTTTGTTTAAAGAGTTTATTTCCAGGAATTCTAGCTATTTCAGTGGAATACTGGAAATCATACAAAGAGGGTGTACTTTTTCCCCCAATGCACAAGCATAAACACACACACACACTAGGGATATAAATATTTCATGCACACTATCATTGTCCTTCAAAAAAAAAAAAACAGGCATGGCTCAAGATATATGTAAAGTAATCTTTGAAAGCCCATATGAGGGTATATCGTACAAATTTTACTTGTGGTTCAGATGGGATATTTTGGAGCACTCCAATGCGTACTGTAATAATCATAATCATTTATCATATCCTGATTCTGTGTGTCTCCTACGTGATTCCTGAACATAATAATTCAGATATCTGTTGGTTGAGAGAGATGGTAGCTAAGACATAGAAATAGTCTGCTTTTAGGTCAACCCCTCAGAGAGGCAGAGGTGCGTGTGTGTGTGTGTGTGTGTGTGTGTGTGTGTGTGTGTGTGTGTGTGTGTGTGTGTGTGTGTGCATATGTTTGAGTGTGCGCATGTGGGTGGGTGTTTGTCTGGGTGTGTGTGTTTGTTTGTACGTGTGTCATATTACAGAGCAAAGTCGTAAAGGTATGGCAGCCGCCTGCAGAAAAATCTGAGCTGACTGCATCTAAGAGAAGCTTTCATCCTCCTACCTGCCCACCAAAGAGGGGAGACAAGCGTTCTCTCTCTCTCTGTGTCTCTCTCTCTCTCTCTCTCTCTCTCTCTCTCTCTCTCACACACACACACACACACACACACACACACACACTAACCAGGGTTAGTTTTACCGGAGATGTCAGTAATCAACAGAAATTTCACTACAACCTTGTTCCTTGGTCTAGATTGATTTTCAAAGTTAAAATATCAACCTCCAGCTTCTGTTTTATCTCTCCCGAGGACTAGAGACTGAAAGGGAGACATGAGAGACAGACTTTAAAAGAAGAAAGCTATATCCTAGTCAGGGCTTTTACTGACGTTGCATTAGTTAAATAGTTTTTTGTTTTTTTTTAAACAGAGAGTGAGGGAGACTAAAGAAAGAACAGGTTATTTATTATACCTTACAGCTGAATTCTGGAATCCTTGGACATATAGTAAGCATTTGCATAAAGTTGTGGAACTTGCAAGAAAAGAAAGGTCAAAATCAATGCAGCAGGGGCTATGATATGCTGACTTTGATAACCCATTTCCACCTGGTATTACTGTGACATGCAATACATCTGGATATCCTATCTGAATAAGGAAAAATGCATGTTAATGCAAGGTGTATAATGTATGCAGAACATATTGCAATCAGAATGCTATAAGATCAGCCAGGCCACATCTGGAGGTGGTATGGCTCACATTGTCACAGGATACAAGTGTAAATGCAATCTGTATTTAGCCACATTCTTAGGAAAACACACAAAGGCACAGCAGTGCTTTGAGCTTAACTACTGACCTACTGTCAGCATGCTTACATTCTCACCAAGACCATGTATATATACAAATATCCACTACTTTTATCCACTATGGAGCTTAATAATCTGTAGTAAATTTCATGGAAATCCAACCAATAGCTGTTGCAATATTTCCGTCTGAACAAAAGAGGTGGACCATCCCAATGAACAACAGACATTACACATTAAAAACTCCTGGGTTAAAAAGGGACCAACTAATTTCTGGATTATTTCAACCCAGAAAATTGGGTTATTTTTTTTGACCCAACTTCTGGGTTAAATACCTGACCCAAATGTTGGGTTAAAAAAACCCACAATTGTAGTTAATATAACCCAACTTCTGGGTCAAAAGAACAACCCCAATATCTAGGTTGAAAAAACCCAGAAATTAGTTGGTCCCTTTTTAACCCAGGAGTTGGGTCAAAAATAACCTAACTTGGGTTACTATGCCAGTATGCCTTATTTAAGAAAATAAAACTTTTTTTTACATTATATCTGTCATGGTGTGGTGCAGGCAGAAGAAGAAGAGGAGGAACCCAAAGTTCCAATTCAAACGTTTTACTAATAAAGCAACTCCAAAAGGTACAGACAGGCAGGATGTACACACACTAAACAAGACTACAAAGTAGAACAGCCAAAGACTGATTGAACTGAAGGAACTAAATACTAACACAGATGAACACTGATTAACTAAACACAGGTGATGCAGATGAACTAAATGACAGAAACCATGGAAACAGATGAGACTAGGGGTGACTGTGACAATATTACACACTTCAAGCACTTTTACATTTTTATTGCATTAAATTAAATTAAACTCTATTCTATAAAATTTAAAAATAAACAATTCTCTAACATCCGACAACATTCAATAACTGGACTGAACTTAAGGCTTAAAGTCTTCAAAAATTGGTTGCGTCATGTCATGTGTGACTTTACACGGACTTTAAGCTAGTTAGATGTACAACCACAGAATTACTACAGCTAACGCTAGTCTCAACGTAGCAACTAGCAACTAGCAACGGGGACATGGACAGAGAAAAGTTTACGTTACATCAACACTGAAAATACTTGCTTACCTTGAATACTCGACAAAGTTGCACCGAAGAAGCACAGGCCAAAATGGATCGAGCGAGAAGCGACAGTTGTCAAACTACTGTGGTGAGAAAATCCCAGAACGGCTGCGGGTGGTTATTATTCATTCATGCCAATAAAGTTAATTTGAATTTGAATTTGAATTTGAGAGAGAGAAAGCCAACCCTATAACCCAGAACATGGGTTACTCTCTGACATAACCCAGAAACCCAAACAACCCAGGAATTGGGTCAAAATATTATCCCTATAACCCAGAAAATGGTTACTCTGAAAAAATAACCCATAATTTTAACCCAACACAACTAACCTAAAATGGGTTGAAGAAATAACCCAGGAGAACTCACACAACAACTTAAAAGTTCACGTAACTCCACCTATTCCCACACTACCAGCAAATACCTACAAATGACCTCTTCCTCTGCAGGTGAAAAATAAGAGGAACCCATACAGCAGCATCCCCTCCCTTCACCAGGGACACAGCATGCTTTTTTTTTTTAAGTTCACTAGCCCCACCTTCCTCATTTGCATGTTGAGATATGCATACAGATTGCATGTTAGTACCATGTGGAAATGGGATCACTAGTACTGGTAAAGATCCAAATACGATGGATCAGTAGGCAATTTGAGGGGGAATGCCGCCACCTTGGTTAGCAAAATTACCAAAATGAATCCCCCTTGTTTACCTGCCATCCCTCCTCTCCATCCCATAGTAGCAGAGAGTGCAGGGGCAGAGGAATTGTTTAGTTGAATATGTTAGTCTAGTCCGCCTGACTCATTGATGCTTTATCTGAATAGTTTGTGCTAGTTAGAACCTATGGCCTCTGAAATATCTGTGCTGTGTATTGATAAAGTAGCAGAAGGATTTGTAATTGCACCTTTTTCTCTCTGCCCTGTCCTTCTTTCAGTTTATACTATAACTTAAAATTTAAATACTCAATTCTATACTATATTGTAGTCTATATAGTACTTTCACCTTCATGATCAAGTGACAAGTAGCAACGTGTAGTCTGGGGTGCTCCCATTCGGCCATTGCCACTAATAAAAATGAACAAATCATGACTTCCATGGATCATACACATACCCTAAATAGCACCTTTTGTTACAACCTTCCTCCCAGGTAAATTCCCACATGTTTCACAATCCACACCCTCTTGTTTGAGTGCTTTCTTCTAAAAAAAATTGTCCCAAGCTTAGACCACCATGATGACATCTTTAGGGGACAAAGCTCCCCCCAGAGCCACAGAAGACATGATACAACTGTGATTCTGTCCACGACTAGTAGGTTGACTGACAAATCTGTGGAATGCCCCTTTAAAACTAAAAATACTTTATATTTGCCTACGGTCTCTGAGTGAAGAGGACGTGGAGAATGTTGCTGAACAAGACAGGCAAAACACACAGTGATAGCTTTAATTGAGTCATAAACTACGATAAGTAGCATCAGCTGTTGTTGGCCTCATTGTTGTCAGTTAGCTTCTTTCATGGTAAAATGCATTCAGTTCTCACACTGTAATTATGCAAGGGAGAGGGGGAGCAATAAATCTGATAATACACGCACACAACACACACACACATATACTTATAAACTCATGGACGAGTGGAGAATTGTTGGAACAGAGATCAGATTAGAGAAGCTTTTCTGATCTGTGGCATGAGAAGGCTGGGCTCATGTATCAACCAGCCATCTAAGCTGGCTTATCCTGATACAACCAGGAGCAAACACACACACACACATACGCACACTTACAAGAAGAAAGTTTACTGGGTGATATAAGAGGGGGGGGGGTTATTGAAGAACAGTGGGGTACAATCTCCAAACAATTCCATATCCCTTTTAGTCATGGCCTGGCTCTGGCTGCGAAGCGGAAAGAACTTTGAGCCCTTGTTAACAGTGTCCCCAAACTCCACTAAAGGTCTACTTTGCTATCTTTATACTTTATAGTAACACTTAGAAAAGTATTTCATCGTGTAGCTCCTGACAGCTTTGTGATTTGTCCTGTGATACGTGTATTGACTTGAGTTATATCTCCTCTCCTCTCATCTCCTCTCCCTCTCCAAGCAGGACTGATGTCCAGATGGTGTGCCCCTCCATGTGTGGTCCAGTTCAGCTCTCCCTGACCGTTTCATGGGCCACAAACAGACCCAAGCATCCACGGCCACTGCTTGACTCAACCCCACCGCGCACTGCACACCTCACCCTTAGCCCCTCACCCCTAACCTTCACCCTCCTCCCTCTGTCTCACTCTCTGTTAAGCCTCTCCTCACATTCTGACAATCCTAGCCCTCCCTGAGCCCAACATGGTGACCTGCGTTCCCGCTCTACTCTTGGTCCTGATGTGTCGGGGTGTCTTGCTCTCTGGCGGAGACCCACCTCCATCCCGCCGGGAGATCCGCATCGAGGGAGATCTGGTGCTTGGCGGCCTGTTCCCGGTGCACGAGAAAGGTGCTGGGATGGAGGAGTGTGGGCGTGTGAACGAGGACAGAGGGATCCAGAGGCTAGAGGCCATGCTGTTTGCCATAGACAAAATCAATATGGACAACACTTTGTTGCCTGGAGTCTCCCTCGGGGTCCACATCCTGGACACCTGCTCCAGAGATACCTATGCACTGGAGCAGGTGGGTGAGCCTGGTCATTGCACATAAACTCTAGATTTTTCTAAATGGTTCTAGTATTTAAATACAGTTAAATACAGTTAATAAGGTTCTGTTCTTTAAACAGTATTTCTAGCTGTTTTTGCATTTCTTTCACTTCTGGTAATAATATAACTATAACTATTATTATTGGATTTTTGTCTATGTATATGACTAGTGAAAGTAATGAAATATTCAACAAAAGTAAGACTAGGAGTACATCACTGAAATAATAGCTCAGTTAGAGCGGGTCTCCTATTTTAGTGTTGTAGAGTGTTCTGTTTTATAAGCATTAACCTGTGAATGCTGATACAACTTTTTAGATACAGCCCAGTTGAGATACAGTTTGTTTAATTAGCTGTTTGTTCTCTTGTGCTGCCGGGCGACTTGAACTTTAGCTACATTTTTAAAAAGTTGCAAGTTGTGGTATCAGAAGTTTAAAAAAATGCAATGTTTCCATTTTAAATCTAGTGAAACTATAAGGTCTCATTAAAAGGTAATGTTCAGGTAAAGTAAATATACCTTGAAATTCTATTTCATCCACTATGGGCAAGAGATTTTGCCTTAAATGATAACAGCAAATCCTTGATGAGAAATAGCGGCAGAAGCTATTTGCGATGAGGGAAATGAGCCGGATATAAAAAAACAGCACACTCCCTCAGGGATTGTTATCTTCAAAAAAATATATTGTATCTTATTGCTGAGCTATTCAGGGATGATGCATCTAGTGATTTTATACAATGAGCTCTTTGACTGATTATATAAACCCTGGATTCCTGACATTTGGTTTCTCTAAATGGGTTGTAGGTTCATTGGCTGTCCACAGAGCAGCAATATGTTATAATGTGCCTTGGTCTCAGAGGAGTTAATGTGCAATTTAGACCCTGTACTGGAAGCATTTAAAAGCCCCTAGTGTAAAGCAATGGGTCTTTAAATTCCCTTCAAAAAGATAGAAATTTTACATTATAAAAAATCTGTAAGGCTTTAAGTTGCAAATTTCTTTTAAAGAATTCCATTCAGTGTTTCAAAGGCTGATTGAAAATAAAGAGATAATATGGACCGTATGGTACCCAGTATGTTGCACAGCATTTGATGTAAAATATCTATGTGGGTGTGTTTCCTAGGCTCTGGAGTTTGTGAGAGCCTCCCTCACCAAGGTGGATGACACAGAGTTCATCTGTCCAGACGGATCTTACGCTCTGCAGGACGATAGCCCGCTCGCAATTGCTGGAGTCATAGGTGGATCCTTCAGCAGTGTCTCCATACAGGTAACACAGCGCGTGTAGGCCTAGGAGTTTTCATACAAATGCATTTTATCATCTTCATCTAACTTTAATGTCCTCGGTGGTATCTTCTCTCCTCTTTTGCTCATCCTTGCACAGGTACCATGACCAAGTGTGCAAAAGCTGACTCCCAGTGACATGGCAGTGCATGTGTGTCCTGTGTCACCACATGTGTGTGTGCGTGCGTGCGTGTTTGTGTGTGTGCGTGCATGTTTTTGTGTGTACTTGTTCTTAGAATGAAGTCTTCCATTTGTGCGTGCTTGTTTGTCTCCCCAGCTCTTGTAGCTCTTGTCACAGAGCTGGATAATTTGCATAGTTTAGCATAAAACCTCCTTCTCCTTTACTCCTCTGTGACTGCACAAAAGCATCGTCCAATCAGTCCTTAAATCCCTAATCTCTGTCTCTCTGTCTTCTCTTCCTCACGCTCTCTTTTTCTCTCTCTGCCATTTTATGTATTTCTCTTTTTTTTCTGTGCCTTAAATCTTTGCTCTTCCTTCTCATCACTGCCTACTTCTCTTTTTTCTCTTCTTCTTTATATGCATTCAGAGGCACCCCTCGCAGCTATTTGGGGAGAGCTCAGTGTATGCTGACCTCAGCCCCCTTCTTTCCTCCTCCTCCTTCCTGGGGCAGCCATTGTTAACACATCTGCTATGTCTCTTGTCCTTCATCACATATAATTACCCTTTGTTTTCTTGCATCTCATTCTTGTTGCCCTTTGTTGCCACTGCTGTTGTATTTACCTGTCTTTTCTGAGGGCAGCACTGTTTACGAGACCCGGACTGTGCTCTGCTTTCTGATCTGTTGCCAGTGAAGCTAATCCAGCTACTCATTCATGCCTCTCTACTTGGCCAGTCTGGCTGTTGCTTCTAAATAAAGTAATAGGGAAGTATTTAATGTTTAACCATGCACAACTAAACTCCAATGTTTTGAAGGCATTTACATAGCAGGCATCAGTCCTCCCCACCGTCCGCACATGCGTGTGTATGTGTCTCTGTGTGTCTGTGTGCGTGTGTGTGACTTGCATTCCAAGCAGAAATCACACAGCAGCCCTCCACTGCACCAATTTTTTCCTCCTCCCTTTCATTTTTTTTCTACTCGTCTCTCATATTCAACCCTTTCCTACAGTACATCTCCCTTCCCTCTCTCTCACAGGAAGGGCGCAGCTTCCACTACAGAGTAAACTCTCCGTGTCCCTACAGACAGGCCTCTTAGCTAGCTATAGTCATTGTTCAGTGGCAGGTAATGGAGCAATGCGGTTACATTTTGCAGTGTGACCTTCCCTGACATTTAAGTCAACTGCCATCTTAAAACCATAAAACCTGCCCGACGTACTACAAGCAGCCTCCGTGTGTGCGCGTCATTGCAGGTGTTTGTGTAGATATGTCCTTGCGCATCAGTATATGTATATGAGTGTGTTTGCTAATCTTCTACATTATTAGTCTAATGAGATTCTGACATGTTGTCACAACAGCTCATCAAGTGAGCTTTGAATGAAATATAGAAAAACCCTGAGTGATGTGCTCTAAAAGGATTAAACTGAGGCGAGAACAGAATGGCTGTGTAGTTTGTTTGCTGTGTGCACATGATTGATTGTATACGTTTACATGTCTTTGTGCGCATGAGAATGTGTAGCAATTATATTTCCACTGCGTTGGCAAATGTGACTAAAATTGTAATGAAGAGAACATGACCAAACCCCAATCAACAGTAAAAGGGAATATTATATGGACATCAGTAGACCTCAGATGATGTCCATCACTAATGCATGAGTCAGTGATTTATTGAACCTCTGTGTGTGTGTGTGTGTGTGTGTGTGTGTGTGTGTGTGTGTGTGTGTGTGTGTGTGTGTGTGTGTGTGTGTGTGTGTGTGTGTGTGTGTTTCTCCATGTGCATATATACCTACACTTGCTGCATTGTCTTTTAAATTCAAATAATCACGTTATGCATTAAGATATTCCTATCAACCTTCTAAATATGTTATAATTAATTATATATAATTTTTCTTTTGATTAAAAATGCATTTAGGATCATTCCAATAATTTTTGTAGGTCTTATTTACCAGTTTAACTGAAGTTCTCGACACACCGTCAGTCAAAGTGAACATTTTAATAAACCCTCTAACACAACAACACTTTTCCTGCAGTTCAACATGTCTTTAAATAGCTGTGGTTGAGCAATTTCATTGCAGTTAAAACATCTCACAGCACTTTTCATAAAAGAGCAGGTCTAGACCATACTCTGTGGTGTTATTTACAGAAGCCCAACAATTCCCACCAAGAGCAAGCCACAGAGGCAAGGAAAAACTTCCTTTTAAGAGGCAGAAACCTCAAGAAGAACCATGGCTCAGGGTGGGCAGTCATCTGCCTCGACCGGTGGGGGGTGAAGGACAGAGAGAGAGAGAGAGAGAGAGGAACAGAGAGGAAGAGGGCAGGAGAGGAACAGAGAGAAAAAGAGAGGGATGGAAGAAGAGAGAGGGAAGGGAGGCAGCCTACACAATATACACACAGAGGTACAGACAGTAAAGGTGATGTTGCTATAGACTAAATGACTAAATGAAAAATGGTATAGATATGTATAGTAGTGTTAATGATAATAATCGTAATGTTAATGATTATAATAACAATAATAACAATAGGACTAGTAACAATAATTGTTGTAGCAGAGGGGGTCGAGCAGGAACACGGGGGGCAGCAGGTGACCCGCAGCCACAGATCCAGACTCCACAGCTCCAGAGCCAGAAACACCTGCAGGAAGTAATAGGAGGAGAGAGGAGAGGGACGAGAAAGCACAAGACTACCGGAAAGGAGAGAAGAAGTGTTAGTAACATGCAATAATGGGATGAGGTTGCATACAGAGGGAGAGAAAGTAGAGGAGAGAGGAGCTCAGTACATCATAGGAAATCCCCCGGCAGTCTAGGCCTATAGCAGCATAACTAAGGGATGGTTCAGGACTCACCTGAGCCAGCCCTAACTATAAGCTTTATCAAAGAGGAAAGTCTTAAACCTACTCTTAAATGGGGAGATGGTGTCGGCCTCCTGAACCCAAACTAGAACCTGGTTCCACAGGAGAGGAGCTTGATAGCTGAACGCTCTGGCTCCTAGTCTACTTTTGGAGACTCTAGGAACCACAAGTAATCCTGCATTCTGGGAACGCAGTGCTCTGGTGGGATAGTAAGATACTATGAGCTCTTTAAGATAAGATGGTGCCTGACCATTAAGAGCTTTGTAGGTAAGTAGAATGATTTTAAATTATATTCTGGATTTTACTGGAAGCCAATGCAGACAAGCTAAGACAGGAGAAATGTGATCTCTTTTCCTGGTTCCTGTCAGAACACATGCTGCAGCATTCTGGATCAGCTGAAGAGTCTTAATGGACTTTTTCGAGCAGCCTGATAATAAAGAATTGCAGTAATCCAGCCTAGAAGTAACAAATGCATGGACTAGTTTTTCTGCATAATTTTTAGACAGAATATTCCAGATTTTTGCAATATTACGTATGTGAAAAAAGGCGGTCCTTGAAATTTGCTTAATGTGAGACTTAAATGACATGTCCTGATCAAAGATAACTCCAAGATTCCTCACAGTGGTGCTGGAGGCCAGGGCAATGCCATCAAGGGAAACTATATCTTTAGATAATGCGTCATGGAGGTGCTTAAGCCCCAGAACAACATTAAACATTAACATTAGAAAATTACAGGTCATCCAGGTTTTAACATCCTGAAGGCACATTTGAAGTTTAGCTAACTGATGAGTTTCATCTGGCTTGATTGATAGATATAGTATCATCTGCATAACAATGAATGTTTATGGAATATTTCCTGATAATATTGCCTAAGGGAAGCGTATATAAAGTGAAGAGGATTGGTCCGAGGACAGATCCTTGAGGAACTCCATGACTAACTTTGGTGTGCATGGAGGACTCATCGTTAACATGTACAAACTGAAATCGATCTGATAAATAGGACTTAAACCAGTTTAGAGCGGTTCCTTTAATGCCAATGAAATGTTCCAGTCTCTGTAATAGGATCTGATGGTCAATGGTATCAAATGCAGCACTAAGATCTAATAAAACCAGTACAGAGACAAGTCCTTTGTCTGATGCAATAAGGAGGTCGTTAGTAATTTTCACCAGTACTGTCTCTGTGCTATGATGAGCTCTAAATCCTGACTGAAAATCCTCAAATAAACTATTGCTCTGTAGAAAGTCACACAGCTGTTTAGCAACTGCTTTCTCCATGACTTAGAGAGAAATGGAAGGTTAGATATAGGTCTAGAGTTGGCTAAAACATCTGGATCAAGTTTGGGCTTTTTCAGAAGAGGTTTAATTACAGCTACTTTAAAGTACTGTGGTACATAGCTTGTTGATAAAGATAGACTGATCATATCTAGTATAGAAGTGCTAACTAAGGGTAAAACTTCTTTAAGCAGCCTAGTCGGGATGGGGTCTAAGAGGCAGGTTGATGGTTTAGATGAAGAAATTATTGAAGTTAGTTGGTAAAGGTTGAGGGAAGCAAAACAACATATATCTGGTTCTACAGCTGTTTCTAAGGTTCCTGAGTTTAGAGATAAGTCGGTGCCAGTTAAGGGCAGGTCTTGGTGAATTTTGTTTCTAATAGTTAGAATTTTATCATTAAAGAAGCTCATGAAGTCGTAACTACTGAGAGCTATGGGAATACCTGGCTCAATAGAGCTGTGACTCTCTGTCAGCCTGGCTACAGTGCTGAAAAGAAACCTGGGGTTGTTCCTATTTTCCTCTATAAATGACGAGTAGTACGCTGCTCTGGCATTACGGAGGGCCTTCCTGTAAGTTTTAAGACTATCTTGCCAAATTAAATGAGAATTTTCCAGTTTGGTGGAACGCCAATTCCTCTCAAGTTTCCGCGATTTTTGCTTTAATTTGCGAGTTTCAGTATTATACCATGGAGCTAACCGTCTAATTTTTATTATTTTCTTTTTTAGAGGGGCTACAGAGTCGAGTTCATTCGCAGCGAGCCTGCTGCACTATCAACAAGATAATCGATTTGGGAGGGACTGAAATTAGCATAGGAGTTCTCCGTTAATTTGTGACTTGATAATGAATTTAGAGCTAAAGGAATCGCATCTTTAAATTTAGCTACAGCACTATCAGACAGACATCTGGTATAAAAAATTTTGCCCAGTGGCGTGTAGTTCAGCAATACAAACTCAAAAGTTATCAAACAGTGGTCAGATAAAGAGGGATTCTGTGGGAACACTATTAAATGTTCAATTTCAATACCGTAAACCAAAACAAGGTCGAGGATGTGGTTAAAACAGTGAGTCGGTTCATGAACACTCTGAGAGAAGCCAATGGAATCTAACAGAGAGATAAACGCAGTACTGAAGCTGTCATTCTCAACGTCCACATGAATATTAAAATCCCCTACAATAATAACTTTGTCCGTTTTAAGGACTAAAGTTGAGAATAACTCTGCAAATTCAGATAAGAATTCAGAGTACGGACCAGGTGTTCAGTACACTATAACAAAAAGAATTGGTTGCAGTGATTTCCAACTTGGGTGTGAAAGACTAAGAACAAGGCTTTCAAATGAGTTATAATTTAGTTTAGGTTTAGAGCCGATTAGTAGGCTAGAGTTGTAGATAGCTACAACTCCACCTCCTCGGCCTGTGCCTCGAGGAATGTGAGTATTAATATGACTGGGAGGGGTGGATTCATTTAGGCTAACATATTCTCCATCACCCAGCCAGGTTTCAGTAAGACAAAATAAATCAATATCATAATCTGATATTAGATAATTTACTAGTACACCTTTAGAAGAGAGAGATCTGATGTTTAAGAGTCCACATTTAATTTTCCTATTAGTTTGCACTATTGCACTTGTGGTTTTAATTTTTATGAGGTTTTTATGCACAGCTCCTCTACTGTTTACCTTTGATTTAAATAATTTTTTATGGTCGGGGGGCAGACACCGTCACTATAGGATTTTCACTAAGTAACTCCTGAAATGGAGGAGCAGAGAAGTGTGTTAGACTGCGACTCTGCGTAGGGTTTAGGGTGGGTAACTGCTGAAATAGAAGGGCAGAGAAGTGTGTTAGACTCCGACTCTGCCCCTGGTCTCAACTCTGGGTTGTCATGGATATGTTTTGGCATTACTCACCTATACACATCATTTTCTCTGCCGGCTGACAGGCCTTAGGTAGGCATCTTTACTTGCCACCAAGAATTATCTTTTGAAAAGAAAAGTGTGTTTTTCCAGCGAGTGATGCACATGGTTAGTTTCAGGTTTGATCCAGTCCACATTAGAGACAGGAGCTCGCTACAAACTGAAACAACATTTAATTTACTTTCAATGTCTGGAATACCCAGTATTGATCAGCAGTCGCATGGGTCAGATATGAATTCTGAGCATCTGTTATGAAAAAAATTATGTTTGCGCCTTTCAAATAATCCAAGGTGTGGATACATCCTTTGTAGCAGGTCTTCTGGTATGCAGATACCAGAGAGCGGGTTAATTCAGGTCATTTCAGCGTGGCTCTTAGTGAAATCCACATTCACTGGGGGGTTTGTCATCCACACAAAATTTTTTTATATTTTTGAGGTACTTCACCACTTCTGCGTACCCTCCTGCTCTGTGTGTGTGCTTCTTTCAAGTGCCTTATTAAATTAATTGCACAGCAATTGGCTCTGTTGCTGCCAACATTTGCATCATAAACACTGCAAGTAGCTGCTTGACTGCAGTCTTGAGTTCAGCGTAGTTCCACACCTCAGGCCTAACTGATACCATGTGCTTTCAAACTGCGTACCTCACTGCTGTAACAGCTCAACTCTTACTTAGAGAAAATATTTTTGATATCACTTTACATAAATGCATCAGAGGTTAATGAGACAAAATACAATTCATAGATTCAGAGACATCAAATTTGATTCACATCGCATATCGAATTACACTGTTCATAAAAGTCTACAACAAATGCAATCAAAATTAGTAAATTAAAATCAAACTCGAGCTACATGAAATCAAAGTGACTCATATAGAATACAATATGGGAATTATCCTTTAAGTTTTTACACTGATAATGTTGTTAGGCGCTCTAACTAAAATGTATGTCTGTTATATGTCCATATGCTAGAAAAGCAGGATTCAATGTTAAGTTCCAACTACTCATTAAAGAGTTGTGTGACTTAAGCAACAGTAGGTTAAAATTATTTAATCTGATTTGTGTCTTTCCTCAGGTTGCCAATCTTCTCAGGCTCTTCCAGATTCCTCAGATAAGCTATGCTTCAACGAGTGCCAAGCTCAGTGATAAGACCCGCTATGATTACTTTGCCCGCACCGTGCCCCCTGACTTTTACCAGGCCAAAGCCATGGCCGAGATCCTCCGGTTCTTCAACTGGACGTACGTGTCCACTGTGGCATCGGAGGGTGATTACGGTGAAACTGGTATAGAGGCCTTTGAGCAAGAGGCACGCATGAGGAACATCTGTATCGCCACTTCAGAGAAGGTAAGGCATGGAATAAAAAAACAGAATATTAGAGATTATTTGTGAATATAAGCAACCATTGTTCAAAGCCAGATACCAAAAGCCCCAAACTTCAGCAGTGTCACACTGATGTATTGTCAGGGTGTTGTGGTGATTGAGCAGGTGGGACCCAAACGCAGGATGCAGAGCAGAGGAGGTACAGTTCAAAAAAGGTTTAATTCCAAGAGATATCCAAATAAACACAACTAATGAGGCAGGCGGGACAACACACAGCAACATGGGACAGAGCGTCTACACACTACAATGACCGGACAAAGACTGAGGGACATGAGGCTGACGAGACACAGACAGGCAGAGAGATAACTGGGGGAACAGACGGAACACTTAACAGGCAGACATGGGGCAAAAGTCTTAGGCCAAATTCAGGCGGGACAAAACAGTTTAGGAGAGCAGAACAGGGGGGCAACAAAGTTCAGGAGGCCGTCCCGGAGGACGACCCAACAGGCCGGGCAGAACAGGGGGGCCAGACTGAGGAGCCTCAGGTGGGCGGCCTGAGAACAGGGCAGGGGGACCAGATCGTTCAGGGGGACGGCCTAGTAGGCAGAGTTTAGGGGGTCGGCAGGACGGCCGACAGTGAGGTAGCAAACCCCCTGGGGGCCGAGCAGGGGGCTGACGGCAAGACCTCTCCGGAGGTCAGCACCCAAAGCTTGGGTGCTCTGGAGGAGCAGCTGGGCTGAGGTCCATGGACCGGACACGAGGAGCTGGAGTCGGTCTGACCACCGACTGGACAGCTGGGCTGGAGGCCACGGACTGAGCAGCTGGGCTGAGGTCCATGGACCGGACACGAGGAGCTGGAGTCGGTCTGACCACCGACTGGACAGCAGGGCTGGGGACCATGGACTGGACGCAAGGAGCTGGAGTCGGTCTGACCACCGACTGGACAGCTGGGCTGGAGGCCACGGACTGAGCAGCTGGGCTGAGGTCCATGGACCGGACACGAGGAGCTGGAGTCGGTCTGACCACCGACTGGACAGCAGGGCTGGGGACCATGGACCGGACGCGAGGAGCTGGAGTCGGTCTGACCACCGACTGGACAGCTGGGCTGGGGAGCATGGACCGGACGCGAGGAGCTGTAGTCGGTCTGACCACCGACTGGACAGCTGGGCTGGGGACCATGGACCGGACACGAGGAGCTGGAATCGGCTGGGCCACCAACGGAGCTGGTGTTGAATGCTAGCAGAACACGGTGTGGAGTGAACAGGCATGGACGCCGGGTGATGGCTAGCAGGCCTCATGCTAGGCCCAGCATGAGGAACACTGGAGGAGTTCATGGCTGTCAGCAGAGCTCTTTTGAGGAGGTCCAACTCCAAGACCAACCTTGCCTTACACCTGGAGCCTCCAAAAACCAGGGCTTTGACAGCAGTCTCTCGTGACAGTCCTCAGTCAGACTTAACTCAAAGAATAAGTTGTCCATGGCTGTTCTCACCCTTTCCCACCCTATCTCCATCTTTGCGTCTGCTGGGTCCATGTATGGTCCGGTCATTCTGTCAGGGTGTTGTGGTGGTTGAGCAGGTGGGACCCAAACGCAGGACGCAGAGCAGAGGAGGTACAGTTCAAAAAAGGTTTAATTCCAACAGAAATCCAAATAAACACGACTAATAAGGCAGGCAGGACAACACACAGCAACATGGGACAGAGCGTCTACACACTACAAAGACTGAGGGGAAACAAGCAAGGATATACACACACAGGGTTAACGAGCTGGGAGGAGACACACAGGTGAGGGACATGAGGCTGACTACACACAGGCAGGCAGAGAGATAACTGGGGGAACAGACGGAACACTTAACATGCAGACATGGGGCAAAATAACAACCAACAGAAGAACACAGACCAGGAGTAAACACTTAAGACATGAATTAATGTACAGGACGAAGAACTAAGACACAAGATTACACAGGGAAACACAGAACCAAAACAGACTTAAACAGGAAACATGAACACAAAAACCACACTCCTAACATGTATGGCCTGAAGTTGCACAAGAATGAGTGGGGCACTAAATTTGTGAGCTTATAAAAGTTTGTCTCCATGTCTTATCTTGTCTTACACACAAATGGGGTTTATATTACACTGGTGTTATCAGTTGTGAACCAGAAAATGAAAACTTATCTCCAAGAACTCATTCTGGGTACTTTACAGTCGCATTTTTCATCTCATTTGCTATGGAGGTGCATGATAGTGTGAGAGAGAAGCGTAGAAGACCCTTTTGCTAGTTTCTTCCTATGAATGATGGTGATAAATAATTACATATGGCATTTGCAAACTTATTCGGGGGTAGAAAGAGCTTTTACAGTACATCTGTCATTACATCATGTCCTTTTTCTGTCCAGGTGGGGCGTTCTAACGCTAAGAAGTCCTATGAAACTGTGATCCGTCAGCTGCTCCAGAAGCCGAATGCTCGTGTGGCTGTCCTTTTTCTGCGTAGCGACGATGCCAGAGAGCTGCTGGCAGCTGCTGCCAGGCTTAACACGTCCTTCATCTGGGTGGCCAGCGATGGCTGGGGTGCACAGGAAAGCATTGTCAAGGGAAATGAGGTCACAGCTGAAGGAGCCATCACACTTGAGCTTGCAGCCAATCCCTTGCCAGAATTCAACAGATACTTCCTCAGCCTCAACCCAGTCAAAAACCATCGTAATCCCTGGTACAGGGAATTCTGGGAACAGCGGTTCCAGTGCTCATTGGGTGGTGGAGGAGCAGGAGGAGGAGGTGTTGGACTGGGAGAGACAACTCTCCCACCGTGTGACAAAGACTTGTCAATGGACAAGAATAACTTTGAACCAGAGTCCAAGATCATGTTTGTGGTGAACGCGGTGTACGCCATGGCCTACGCCCTCCATAATATGCAACGGAGCCTGTGCTTCAACACCACCAAGCTGTGTGACAGCATGAAGGCACTGGATGGGCGCAGACTCTACAGGGATTACATCCTTAATGTCAGCTTCACAGGTAAGAAAGCTGGAGCATGGCAAAGAGAGTCAGGAGTCTTAGATAAGGTGTTCAAGGTGGATGAAGAGTGAAAAGAAGTGAATGAGGAAGTTGGGGAGGAAAAGGGAAAAGATAGCAAGGAATGTGAGTGCTGTGCCTAGTTAACAGTCCTCTCATGAACAACGCAGGGACGTTGTCCTTCTCCCCATCCAAAGCAGCCAAACCACAGAACATAAAAAGTACTGAGACAAATCCGCTTAATTGCTATGTATTGTCAGAGCCAGCCTGCCATTGACACCTATTACCCATGCGTAATTGATACGACACTACAAAGTTGCTTTGAGGAATGACAGCTGCAGTTAATCCGTCAGCCATATTCTTCTCTCTTGCACTAATGAGATTGTGTGTGTTATAATAGCTCCTATAGCAGGCTGCCTGTCTGCCAGTCAGTCTCTGTAGAGTTAGGAGAGAAGAGTAGAGGATTGGCTTGACTGACAGATGGCGTACAAAGGAAGTGTTATAAATAAACTGCTGTGTCTCGGGGACTGACACAGGTTTAGAGGTGCTTATTCCTCCACCAACCGTGACCAAGAGTAGACATCAAAACAGCCAAACAAACACCACTAACACGGCGGCTTTGCCACGGGACACTGCGGAGAGAGCAGGAGGGAAGGATGGAGGACGAAAGAATGGCATCACATATGGAGGGAGGGGGAAGGACGCTTACAGATAAGACTGACAGGCAGACTAAAATGAGAAAAGCGAGTTTGCTGTAAGGTAAAAGGAAGTAAGACAGAAAAAGAGATAGGGAGGGAAGGGGATAAGGAACAAGAGAGCAATGAGGCAATGCCGGAGTGGGACGGTGTGCGTCAGCAGAAGAAGAGGATTCTCTTTGAAATTCCTCATCTTCATTTCTGCTACAAATCAAAGGACTTGAAGCATTTCTGCTTGAGAGGAGGAAGGTGGAAAGAAGGAAAGAGAGGGGAAGACTGAGTAAGATAGAGAGGGAACAAGGCTGCAGTGGCAGCCTCCGGTTGGCACAGATGATAACCACTCCCTTATAGAATGCGTACAGAGAGGGACGGAACAGATATGCAGATTCATACATAGAAAGTTTAACAAATGCTGTGGAGTAAGTTGGAGAAGAGCTGTGAATCCCGCTGTGACTTGCCTAAATCTCTATGTCTGATCATCTTTCACCCTTAAACCCCTCTTTCACTACTGATGTGTGTCCATGAAGATGCATGTCTTTACTCTGAAGCTGGGAAAGAGTAACAGCATGTGCAAGGATCTTGAGTTCTTTACAGCTTGACAGAATGGCAAACAGCTGTATTAGTAAAAATGCATTCAAGGAATCTGTGTTAGAACATTGAGTGTGTTGAAGGTTGGCCGTACAGTTAAACTGGAAACTGTGGCAGTGTTTGTTTTGAGCTGTTGGTTTGCCCCAAATGACGCACTCACACTGCTGTACATATACATTTTAACATCTACAGTATGGAAGGAAGGAGCTGAGGTGAGTTGAGGTTGGATGTGGGGTATAAATACTGCAGCATCACCATCCGCAGTGCTCTCAGTCTGAACTGTAGCAGACGGAAAACCAACTCTGTTCAGTGCTTTGTATCTCTCTCCCATCTCTTTCTCTATAATGAACCTGCACACATGCATGTTCACTATACACCTATTTTCATTGTATCAGAGTTTGATCTCACATTTATCTTCATGCTTCCCAACACACTGAATTACTGTCCGCCGTCCTTATCTTTACATTCATAACACAGCAGACCGTATTTAACTGTGATAAGGCTGTTTTTGTTGTGTGTTACTGACAGCGTATGTGGTGCACTGAGGCAGTATGTTGTGTGGCTAAGAGTGTGTTTTCATATGCCTCATATGGTCTCTTCATCTAGTCTCATCTCGCCAGTTGCTATGGTAATGAAGCCGACACTATTGCCAATTGTTGAACTGATCTGGTAGATCATGGGAACTGCTCCCTACCAACTAGTAATAGGCACAGGGGCACATTTGTGCATTTTTATGAGGCCTTGCCGCATTCTTCGAACACGCAAGAGACATACACACAAACACGTGCAAAACAGTCAGCTTTTTTACAAAGAGGCAGCTTGAAATGCTTGTTTCTTTACAGCATGAAATTGCAGACACCCCCAACCCACACACTTCTCAAAGCTATCATTCAACTTCCACCCACCCATCTCCACGATCTGCAGTAAATGTATCAGTATATACACACATGCACGCAGTCTTCTGTTCAAATAGTGGTGATAGATGTGCTATTCCCCCTTCACTGTGCTTTTGCGTGTGTGTGTGTGTGTGTGTGTGATATGTCTGTGTTAGCAGAGGCGGTGTGCCTTCAGGGCCATATTGAGCAGAGAGCTTACTGCAACGTTTAGATGCTAGAGAACAACCTTCACTCCTTCTCTCCCTTATTTTCTCTTCACTCTTTCCCTCTGTCTCTCTGTCTCTGTCACCCTCTGTCTTTCTATCTCTCTTTCTCTCACTCTTCGTCACCCTATCTCTCTATATCTCTCTCTGTCTCCGTTCTCTTTCTCACCCAGAAAGTGTCCTACTCTCTCTACATTCAAAAACAGCACATCCCACTCAGACTTCACAAGGTTGCTCTCCTGCCTCCACCGCCTCTCTGCGCCGGTCTGTTCCTCCACTTTGCTCATCCCATCATCCATACTTCACCTTTTCTCTATTGATTCCTCCATCCAAAGGCTTTCCCTCGTCCACCCATATCTCCATTGCCGTCACATCTGTTTCTTGGGTTTCTCTTATGCTATCTCCTCTCTTATTCCTAGTATTCTTCTCCCTCTTCTCCCTTGTCACTTCTCTCCTTTCTTTGCCCTTATCTTGTCTCTTGGCTCATCCTCCCTCCTAGCACCTCCTGCCTTTGGCCTGCCGTTTCTTTCTTTTGTCTCCTCTATCTCACCACCTTTCTTTCAGTCAAGCCTCAGCTCTCTGCTGCCGCACCTTTCATCCTATACATTTCTCTCTCATGTCCGACTTCCTTCTCTCAACCCTATCTGTCCGCTGTTCCCCTGTGGCCTGTTGGTCCGTGGCCCAGGCAGCGCCTTCGTCCGCGGGGACTGAATCTGCAGGGAGAACAAATATAGCCAATGTGATATTTCTGTGTGTGCGTTTGTGACATGTGAGTGCATCCCTGAGACCATTTCTGTATATGCTGAGGGATGTTTGTATGTGTGCGTGTGTGTGTGTGAGTGTGTGTGTCTGTGTGTCTGTGGGGCACAGATGTGTAAGGTCAACAACCCTCTGAAGGAAGAAAAAGAGAGACAAGAGAAGTTGGTCACAGCATTAGCATGCAGCTTTGCATCTTTATATTTTACCTGGAACAGATGTGCATTTGTGCATAGACCTATATACAGTGTTTTATTTGTCAAGCTTAAATCAGGATTAACTCAGGGATTCAGGTGAATTGATGCTTGAAAATGCTTTTTTTGTCAATTCCCTAGCTAACAACTAATCAACAGCCAGCTTTTGAATTTTCAGTCACACATTTACCCAAAGAAAAGATTCGCCCTCTCTCTCTCTCTCTCTCCACTTTTAGATTGCTTATTCCTACTTATTCCTCCCAAGCCCCTTTGCCTCCTCTCTCTCTCTCCGCCTTTAATACCCACAATCCCCCTTGGGCTTCGCTTTAGCCCGACATGGCCGAGAACATAATTAATTTCACAGCTTCTGAATGAAAAGCCTGTTTTCACCATGCTTCTAATTAAGCTAGAATAATAAGGTGTTTCTCAAGTTAACGGGAATGCTAAAGTATCTCACAAAAATTAGGGATCTGGTTAGGCAGTGTTATGACAGGAGTTTGTCTCACCTAACTTTATTTCTTTTTTTTGTACTGCTATTTGTTTTATATTCTGTGGCCCCAGCTGTTTGATTAACTGCATTCACACAAATTTAGGTTGACAATGCAATTAAATATATTCACAGCTGGGCTGCGCAAAGGGAACTTTGTTTTGTTGAGCCCAAACATGTCAATTTATCAATTGCCTAACTCCATAATACACTATATACAGTGCACCTCAGCTACACAACATGAATGATTCAGGGAGATGAATGTTGCTGAGAAGGTATGGTCCACCTTTTGATGATGACGACATCTCACACGCAAGGAAAGTCACTCAGAGCTGTGAGTAGTGATCAGGGCTGCGCCTGCTGTGGGTCTCAGCTGGACTGGACTGGGCCAGCGGGAATTATTGTATGGATGAGGTCACACAGAATCATCAATCATCACTGTTTTAGAGCTTAAGCTGTGTCATAGTATGTGCTAGGACGCTGCAGGAGAGCCCACAAGCTGCTGTTAGGAAGCAGTCACCACCTTCAATTAATCAAATGATCAAATTGGTTCAGTTCATGGTGCATCAAAGTTACATCACACAGAAACATGCTGTAGAAATGTAGCTTAGGGACAAACTTCCTTTTAGCTGCTCTACCCCACCAGACTCTCTTGACAAAAATAGTAGTTTTCATCTACTCCGAACTATTGTATGAACTGACATGAAATTTGGTACAGACATTTATGTTACCCTCAGGATGAACTGTAATGACTTTAGTGATCACTTAACTTTTAACTTTATCTAGCACAATCATTTTAAATTTGCCCAATACTTTGGTTTGTGACCAAATACTTGCAAAACTATTGACATTCCATCAGCCTCAGCTGTACTTTGTGCTTAATGCTAATTACCAAGTGGTACCATGCTAACAAGCTAAAGTAAGATGGTGAACACGGTAAACAATATACCTGCTAAATGTCAGCATGTTAGAATGTAATCCTAAACATGTTAGCATGGTGATGTTAGCATTTAGCTCAAGTACATTCTCACATTGCGGCATGGCTGTAGGACCTTAGGGGGCTTTCGCATCTGCCTCATTTAGTTCTGTTGAATTGCACTGGAGTTTGTTTGTTTTTTGAATGCACCAGTCGCACTCGGGTGCGCACCAAAAGCAGACCAAACAAACGACTATCAAACAAACTCTGGTGTGGTTCACTTGTGATTTGAAAGCAGTTGAACCAACCACAGGATTTATTGATAGCAGATGTGTGATCTAAGCATTGTTTCAAAAGCTAAAACACTAACAAACACGTCTGCTGATAGTGAAATGTGTTCAGGAAGCGATCTTTTACTTGATCTGTAAAAGCTTTATTTCTGGAATCATTTGGTAACCACGTATACATGTCAGCACAGTTAGTTCCCTTAGTCTTGACCAAATGAACCGGACTGCAGGTGTGAAAGCACCCTTAGTCTTGTATAATCTAAAATCTCTGAGCCCACCAGACTTTTTAAATTCAGCCCAGGACAGTGCTGAGGGAAGAGAGGGGAGAGAGTGAGACCTGGGCTGCCTGTCTCAGCCCTCTGCAGTCGCCAGAGGAGTCTTGGTGGCCTTCACCATTCAAACTTGCACCCTCATACACTTTTCTGATAAGCCGCTCTGTCACGTCAGCAAGGTCGCTGGTGTTGGTTATAGGGAGGAATCACCAGTCCTCTAAGTCAATTGCTCTTTGACTGTGATCTGTTAGAGGGAAGTCAAGGACAATACACCATCCTCAAAGGGGTTGTAGGCTAATGCCGTTATCTCTTTAGTCTGTATTACACGTAATTACCACATACAGCTAATAAGGCTTCAGCACACATAAGGTCCTAATAAGGTGCAGTTATGATAATTAGCTAGTGGCAAAGTGTTTCTGTGAGTGTGTATGGGTGTCTAAAAGGGGGAAGCATGGCTTGTCTTATTGCTCAGTGTTATTAGCAAACTTTATTATCTGCCAACTTGCTGTATAATGGATTCATATCTTTTCTTCGTCTGAAGATATTATCAGCACCTTCTTATTGAAATCATTTTCATTTAGCTGTCACCTAAACATTTAGCCTGAAAATCCAAAGAAGACTTGACACTTGGAATTTCCTGTGAAAGAGAGGGAGAGAGAGGAGAAGGATAGAGGGTTGTGCTGTCTCTGTGATTTATGGATTTCATAAACCCTAACCCCCTCTGCTGCCATATGACACGCCATTCTTCTCTGAAGACACTGAGCTTTCACAACAATAGCACAACTTTAGCCCTTGTCAGGGTTGCACGCACATGCACACACATACTTTCACAAGCCACTAACAGCAGGGTGAGAGCTTTGGTTCTGTCGGCACAGCCTCCAACAGCACTCAGAGCAATACCTTAACCATCAAACAGTAAAGTAAAACCTAATGGAGCCTACACAGGCGTGTGTGCGCGCACGTCCTTGCACACATATACAGACACATTCCAGCCCAGCAGCTTATCTGTATTTTGATTCATTCCACTGATTCCCAGCTGTACATTTGGAGAAAGAATTTGGCCAGCGATTTCTTCAGCTACGCAACGACACGGAGATATGAGGAAGGCAGCATAGTATCATCAATGCTGCTGTGCGCCGAAGACAGAGAGCCTTGTTATACGTTGAAGTGAGATGCTTTAAAAACCAGTGTGCACTGCACTATCCCCAGCTGCATCGTCATTTGACAGGGAACACTCAGCCCTGTACAGTGTGTCAGCAGCACAGAGTTGATTGCTCCGCTGTAAGGACAGAAGTGGCACGGTAGGATTGACATACACTTTGTGTGTGTCAAAACAACCAAGTGTCAGCAATGTCAGGTCCAACACTGCCTGTAACGCATCAGTGAGTTACTCCCATTCTGTGGCTACTTTTTTACATGTTTTTTTTTTTTAAGTTTTAAGCATCCTGCCAATTTTACAATCTCTTCTGTTCCCTCCTCAGGGTAGATGGTAATCCTTTCATAACAACTTGCATACAAACCAATTTGGCAGTTTCAGCAGTGTACCTCCCTCACATAAAAGACCCAGAGGCTAATTCTATCAATGTGTGGGAAGCTATAGCACTGCCCAGAGATTCAGTCCCCTGCCTTCATGCCTATATGACTTTATGGGCAGTTTGTTAATGATGTATTTGGTAATAAACATTGTCAGATCAGAATTTAGAGCAGCGTTTTTGTCCCTATGTGACCTTAGGGAAGGATGAGGCCATTGATGCACACAGACATCACCAAGCATACCAGGCATTTATAGCCTCCTAGCAAATACGTTTGTGACTGGCTGGTCTTCAGTAATGAAAACACTACTGTATTGCCCTTCATTTCTGTTCTGGACTCCTAAGGCTTAACTGACCACAGCTTATTGTCTCTGTCCTCACTGCTGCTTTTAAAAGACATCAATGAGACATCAATGGGTTGATTGTTTGTGATTGTTTAGCTTTAATCTCCTTTTTCCACCCGTCTTATCACTTTCTTTTCCACGCTTTGTCTCCACTCACCCCCTCCAGCCCCTTTCTCTCCACCCGGCAGCGAGACAGCAGTGAAGTTCGATTCCCAGGGGGACGGCGTGGGACGATACAACATCTTCAGCTACCAGCGCTCTGCCGATCGCTACGGTTACGTGCCGGTGGGTGAATGGGCAGAGATTCTAAGTCTGAGCAGCGATCTGATCCACTGGCCAAGAGAGGTGGTGCCCACCTCACAGTGCAGCGATCCCTGTGAACGCAATGAGATGAAGAAAATGCAGGCAGGTAGGAGACTGAATTTCAACAATGTTCTGTCAGAGCAACATAACACACCAAGCAGCAGTGCCTTTTGAAAAATCTCAGACTGTCACTCTCTGCTGTTCATATTCCTGTTTCCCAGGTGAGTACTGCTGCTGGATCTGTACAGCCTGTGAGCCTCATGAATATCTGGCTGATGAGTTCACCTGCTCGCCCTGTGCTCCTGGCCAGTGGCCCACTGATGACCTGACATCCTGTTACGACCTTCCTGAGGACTATATTATGTGGGAAGATGCCTGGGCCATTGGTCCAATTACTATCGCCTGTGTAGGGTGAGTGATAAAGGGCTGTCAAGATGATGTCAGATTATGACTGGTCCTGAGAGATGTAAGCACATGTGTGTCTGTGTTTGTATGGACCGGAAGGGAAATGACTGTTCTCTAAACCCCTCCCCTGCAGCGATTGTCCAATCATAAAATGTTTATGAGCTAGTTTAAAAAAAATTCTGTTTAGTATTTATCCACAACACACAACACCCCCTTAGTAACACAGTTACTTAGTAAATGTGTTACTAAGGGGGTGGGGTTTAGCAAACGGTCAACTCAAGTTCAATGATACAGACATTTTTATGATATGTATTATGATATAGACATATTCTAATATTAGAGGATTTTCAAATTACTGTGATATGTCCATCCATCCACACACACACACACACACACACACACACACACACACACACACTTAAGCAATAGCTCACGACAGGCCATGGTATACCCTTATTATATCACAGTTAAGGGGCGTTTTTTCTCTCTCTCTTTCTCTCTCTCTCATTATTTATTTATTTATTTATCTCCGCCAGTAAAATGCGATGTGTATCAGATCGCATTATAATACCAGGTGTAAATGTGGTGCGAGACTCCCACAAAGCTCAGATTAATTCAATTCAGCTTTATTGGCTGATTAGATTATATATTATAGAGGTTATAACTCAAACCCTGTTTTGCGGAGTGATACGGATCTGTGCAAAGGAATTCGATGTCATATCTGTTATATACGCTCATTAAATCACTGCTATGAACCAATCAGATTGCTTGATTTGAGCTACCCGTTTTATAAACACATATGTAGCTCTGACCTACTTGTGTAATAGCATAATAAGCACCTAGAAACTGTGACTTCATGAAAAAGCTTGCCTGTCTGGCTGCATAACTTCCCCCCTGTCTACAGGTTCATGTGCACCGGTCTTGTGTTTTGGGTGTTTATCAGACACAACCACACACCGCTGGTCAAAGCGTCAGGCAGAGAGCTATGTTACATCCTCCTCTCTGGAGTCTTCATGTCCTATGCCATGACTTTCCTCTTCTTGGCCAAACCCTCTCCCGCTATCTGTGCCCTGCGGCGCCTCGGCCTGGGCACATCATTCGCTGTCTGCTACTCTGCCCTCCTTACCAAAACTAACAGAATCGCCAGGATTTTCAATGGCGTGAAAGACGGAGCGGGTGCTGTGAGGCCACGCTTCATTAGCCCGTCCTCTCAGGTGAGTGATTGCAGCATCATGTCCATCCATCTGCATCAGTCAGATGGCTGGATGGACAGACAGACAATGGAACTTGATGACCTTACCTACCTTTCCTCAATTAATTTTCAGGTGTTCATCTGTCTGAGTTTAATCTCCGTCCAGTTAGTGATGGTGTCAGTGTGGCTGCTGCTGGAAGTTCCTGGGACACGGCGCTTCACACTCCCAGAGCGACGACAGACTGTCATTCTTAAGTGTAACGTACGCGACTCCAGCATGCTGCTGTCACTGGGATATGATGTGCTCCTGGTCATCCTGTGTACCGTGTAAGTGTGTCAGAGATGGTTTGATTTGGTTCCATCTAAAGTGCTTTATGTTCCCCATCCACAGCGTAAGGTAGTAACGATGGGCCCCAGTGCAGGCTGTTATGTTGTGTGACGAAGCACATGCACACACACACAGTGTTCATGTCTAGAAGGGAACCCTATATTGGAAAATTTCTGTGCCTTCCTCATTGTGTACAGTTTAACAACAGATAATATCAGATGCAATAAATGCCAACCCTACTTAATTTAAAGTTCCTAAAATTAGTTTCTTCCATATTAACCATAGTAACATTTTAAATTGAACAGTTCTGTTTTGTGTATCTCCCTCCAACACACACATGCTGCTGCATGCGCCTGGCCACTGCAGCCTTAAGCAGCCCACCAGTCATGTGTTGGATCTTACAGATGGAATGTGTTACCTAGATTATTGTATTGGCAAAGTACAGACAGTGACTGTCAAAATCCTGAAGCGTCATTACAAACAACCGAGTGCTGCAGGGGAGGTGTCCACTGTGCTGAAATGACCGCATATTTTTTGGGGCATTTTTGGTAGGCCTACAATAACCTCACAAATCAGTACAATGGCCTACTTATCAACACCAACATGTCCTGAAAACAGGCCAGCAACAGCGCGCACACAGTTTATTACTCACAAGCACACACACATACAATCAAACAGGTGCTCGACGCCGACCTTACCCCGAGATGATAACAGCCTTTAAACGGGGAATGGCAGTACATAAGATACACCAAATCCATTGAAAAAGCACTTTTACTAACCTATTTGAAGGCATCCAATGAGCCACGAGTTGAGCAAAATCTTTGACAATGTCCTCAGTAAGAAATCCAAAACAATCTTATTTAGGAGCTTTGCGACCCTCTCCTCCTGTTCTTTTCTCTCCTGGCTCTTTTTGCAACAACTTTTATGTTTGAATGGCATGACTGCTAGATTGCATGTGTGCTCTGTCAGATTTTGCGTTACACCTATTCGAGTCACATGATCAAACAGAAACCTAAGATTGGCCAACAATATACACATATTACCCAGCAACCATCATTGCATGTGTAGGCTATGTGACACAAATACCAAAGAAAATAAGAAAATATTAATTTTGTGGAATTTGTAGTATATATATATATATATATATATATATATATATATATATATTTATTTTATTATTATTTTTTATATTCCACACATTTGCTTGCTGCAGAATCTTTAATAAAACTACTGACTGACAGCATGGCAAAGGTGGATGTTCACATTTGAGGGTATATTTACCACATGAGCTCTGTAATGATGTAGTGACATTTGGCCTCTTTCAATTTAAGAAGTTTTGTTTTCATAGCAACAATCATTTGGGTAGGGTAGGTATCACATTTTTCCAGACGGTGTCTACCTAATTAGATGATTCTTTCCATCTAGGTATGCCTTCAAGACCAGGAAGTGCCCCGAGAACTTCAACGAGGCCAAGTTCATTGGATTCACCATGTACACCACCTGTATAATTTGGCTGGCCTTTCTTCCCATTTTCTATGTCACATCCAGTGACTACAGGGTATCTTGTACACACACTCACACACACACACACAAACATAACAAATTATATATAACAAATAATCTCACCATAACTGCTACATGCTTAACCCCAACCCAACTAAATAAAACCAAAATTTTAATCAAAAAGTTCAACATTTACAACATTTCAAAATTTAGGCATTTCAACTTTATTTCCAAGAGTTAGATGAGAGGATTGATACCACTCTTATGTCCATACACTAAAAATGAAGCTACCCGCCAGAAACCATAGAACTTAAGGTTAGTGTGAAGAATGGAAACAGGGAAACAGGTCGAAAGATAACAAAATCCGCCTCCCAGCACCTCTAATTAACAACACAATCACAAACAATTTAACACTAATAAATATCAGTATCAATATCAATTTTATTTATATAGCACACTTAAAACAAAAAGGTTGACCAAGGAGCTTCACAGGTTAAAATACAACAACAAGACACTACTTACACAGCAAAAGTACAGCAATAACACATTATAATATACAATATACGATATATAGTGATATTAAAATTGCCAGGAATAATAACAGACTTAACTCGAAGGAAAAGAAAAGAGATGTGTTTTTAACAGTGACGTTCGAGAGTTGGGGAGCGGTTCTGATTTGGACTGGCAGGTTTTTCCACAGGTTAGGGGCAGCTACACTAAAGGCTCTGGATCGCCTCTGGTTTAAGTCTGCTTCTGGGTACATCCAGTAGGAGGAGATTGGCGGATCTCAGCACTCTAGCTTCAGTATGAACATGAAGAAGCTCTGTTTAGTACAATGGAGCCAATAAATTAAGGCATTTAAAAGTAAGATTTTAAAATCAATCCTGTAATGAACAGGAAGCCAGTGGAGGGAGCGCAACACAGGTGTGATGTGGTCCCTCTTCTACTTTCCTGTCAGGAGGCGGGCAGCAGCATTTTAGGACTAACTGCAGGCACTGAATAGATGACTTGTCGAAGCCCACATATAAGGGGTTGCAATAGTCAAGCCGGGAAGATGTAAAGGCATTGATCACCCTCTTTATATTTTTAGGAGGGAGATAGGCCTTTACCTTGGCTATAGTTATCAACTGGAAAAAGCAGGATCTAACAGTGGCGGATATCTGTTTATCAAATTTAAATGCACTATCCAATGCAACACCAAGACTCCTCACAGTTGAGTGGTTGTTTGAAGTTAAAAGGCCGAGAGAATCTACATCAAGCAGTTCAGGGTGTCCATACACTATGATCTCTGTCTTGTCTCCGTTTAGGTTGAGGAAATTTAGGTTCATCCATGTTTTGATGTCCTTCATACAGTCAAGCAGGGGCTGCAGTGAGCCCTTTGTTTTTACATTCAGGGGAAAATAAATTTGATATCGTCTGCAAAACAGTGGAAAGAGAGCTCATACCTCTCAAAAATGGAGGCCAGGGGCAGCATATACAAAGAAAATAAGATGGGGCCTAAGACAGAACCTTGAGGGACACCACAAGTAAATGGTGCTGTCTCAGAGGAATAATCACAGAGGTGGACAGAGAAGCTCCTATCTGTTAGATAGTATTGAAACCACCTAAGTGCAGTACCTTTGATTCCCACACAATTTTCCAACCGTGACAAGAGGATTGAGTGGTCAACAGTGTCAAAGGCAGCAGTGAGGTTTAAGTGCACTAGGACAGCAGAAATTCCTGAGTCAACAGTTAAAATCAAGTCATTAAAAACTCTTAAAAGTGCCTTTTCATAAACATTATTATTAATTAAAAATGTTTGCAGCTGGGTAAAAACTACTTTCTCCAGGACTTTAGATAAGAAAGACAGTTTAGAGATGGGCCTGAAGTTGGAGAGAACAGAGGGGTCGAGATTGTCCTTTTTTAACAGGGACTGTACAACAGCATGTTTGAAGGCGGACCGAACATAACCAGAGACAAGACAGGTATTTATCAATGACAATACATGGTCGAACGGTATCAAATGACGAGAGGGAATGCTGTCTGAGGGACAATTTGTGTTGAATCTTCTTTGTTTAAGGCATATAAAAGCTTGAAAAAAGTGTACAAATGACAATAAGCTTCTTTACGAGGGATTATGTTCCCAAAATGACAAATTATTCCTTTAACTCCAAAATTTTATGATTTACATTCTGGGGACCTGTTGTTTTAAATCCTCAAACAGGAGGAGAGTCTCTTAAATGTGGCTATGTGAGCATTTTTTGTGCCCCACGTCATTAATACAAGCACACAGGTCACAACAGTGACTGCACAGGTGTAGTAGCAACTTGTCCCAGCTCTGCAGTATTGGGATTGCAAACAGACATGCTCCGTCAAACTGCTGACACATGTCCAGATTTAACAGCAAAGCGGAGTGTTCACCTGATCCATACAAATCTCAAGCATACACAGACACACACCTTAAGCACACACACACTGCACTGTATCAAAGGGCATAAGAGAAGAGTGCTGATGAGGGCTGCTCATTTGATCCCTGTAGAAAACAGCTCACTTTCTCACTGCTCTCCCTGTCTCTCTGTCTCTCTCTCCCTCTCCCTCTCTCTCTGGAAATAAGCATTTCTTTGGCCTTGTAATCTGACTTTAAGATTAGTCAGGCAGAGGCATAATATCACCAACATACACAACCACCCACTTACACACACGGAGGGAAATACAGCATACACCTCTCCAGACCTACCTAAGACAGTATTTAACATTGATTTCGTACAATAAATCACAGAGAATAAAGTTAAAGCTAGGGCCTCTGTAGTCTCTGTTGATTAAGTCTTTTATTGATCCATCCTGTATTTGTTATCCTCACTGTAATTGTTTTCCCCTGGACTGCTGCAAGGTAAAAAAATCTGCCAATGAAGAGTTATCCTCTCACTTTAAGGCCTCATTGGGTCTGCTTATGTAAAGAGACTGATTCATTACTTTAGCCGTTTTTATGCTCTAAATTTATCTGCAGTTTGTCGAATTGGCTTTTATTTATTATTGTTTTATTTTCTGTTCAGCACTTTGTAATACTCATTCAAAAAGTCCCTTTGAAAAACGCTCATTATTAGAGATTATTATCACCAAATTAGCTCTTAAGAGCAATTACTCTGAACTACATTAGCATAAGATTTATCCATCAAAGTCTGGCTACTAATTACTGTCTCCCCCTTTTTTTTCTCTGCAGGTCCAGACCACTACCATGTGTATCTCAGTCAGTCTGAGTGGCTTTGTGGTTCTGGGCTGTATGTTTGCTCCCAAGGTCCATATCATCATGTTCCAGCCCCAGAAGAATGTGACCAGCCATAGGCTTAACCTCAATCGCTTCAGTGTCAGTGGGGCTGCCACCACATACGCATCTCACGGTGGGTTACATACAGTTAACTCATTTTTAAAGAGACAGGGTTTAGAGCAGCACTCTCTCTGTCTTGTTTTTTTAGTATGCCTCTGACAACATTCAATATTCAATATAGCACAAGGACAGCCCTATGTTCAAGGTGTGTAGCTGTAGTGTTGAACAGTGCGATGAGATGCCAAGAAAGAAGCTAAGAAGTTATTAGTTTATTAACCATATGTAGGACACATTGTAACCCAGAATAAATATAAAACCACAGTGCATAATTGGCCTCACAAAAAACATCATTAATGGGTTAGGTGCAATTCTTTCCAAATGACTTGTAAAGTCATGGCAGTGATATTACATTTATTACTGATTAGGTTTGCATTTAAACCACCACTCATATTTTACTTTAGCTTAAGCTTTGGGTGGACTTTTACCATAAAATAGCTAAATGCCAGGGTAGTTTTGTCATTCACTATTGTTGGATTGTTGCACTGAATCTACATTGTGCTTGTAACATAAAGTTGGTGGCCATTTCTAATGTGTACTTATGGTCCCTTGACAGTCTTAAGATGCTGCTCTATTTTAAATTTAAATAGCTCATTTCATTACTAACTCCAGGCTGTTGGGGTTCAAATATCAATAAAGGGGAGTCCAATTTGTTTGTTACCTGCACTGGTGTGCACCATGGCTCATGCAGTGTTTTCTCTAGCCTATAGTGTCGATACCTCTGTCAAGTCAAGCTTTCTAAACTGTAGCTTCAAATGTAATGGCACAGTGTGATAAAGATATTTCTTACTGCTAGTTTTAAGAAAATGTTTTCCATTTCTTTTGTGGCAGCAACTGGCTTTAATGAGCAATTATCTCATGTCTAAGAATGCTTGATTTCCCTCTTTCTATGCAATTATCTTCTCCCTTCTTCTTTCTCATTTTATCACTTTTTCTAGCTTCTGTCAGTGCCCACCACGTCCCCACCGTGTGCAATGGGAGAGAAATTGTCGACTCCACTACTTCTTCTCTGTGACCACATCCAGTCCACTCCCTAAATCTGCCCCCGCGACTGTTAGCCAATCCATGAACGTTATCCTCCTGAATTATCATTCTCCACCTCATACACAGACACACACACACACACACATACATACATACAAATGTATACACAAATAAACGCACAAACATCCTTCCTTGTGGACTAGAATTGTATTGTTTCACAAATGTAGAAAGTGTGTAACTATAATTAAATTATTTTCTAGGGATGTACATACATGGAATTGACATTGTTGTAAGTAGAGAAACAAAAGAACAAAAAAAAGTTTTTAGGAGGAATTTTTGGAGCCTTTGTTTTTGATAGCTTTGTTATGATGCGGTGTAAATAGACATGCACTTAATCATGGTAGGAGGGTGTGTGTTCCTCAGTCTGGATGCACATTTGTGGCTCTGCCTGTCTCACCTGCAATATCCCACAGACTTTTTATTCTCATGCTTTTTTGTAGGTCTCATTGTAATAACCAATTATGTATGCATTTCTATTGTGTATCTGTACATTTGTATATTATACTACTGATGGTTCAAACAGCACAATGTTGACAGTCTTGTAACCCTAGTATGAATGTGGCTAAAAGCATAAACTGGATAGTATAAAATGGCTGGAACAGACTTGTACAAAAATCCATCAAACCCATCGACTTACAGTTACACTGTGCCAGAACACAATTTTAAGTTAGAGAATTCGTCTGTTCACATCTTGATAGATTTGCATCCTAGATCCGTATAAAGAACCCATTGTGGTTGGGTTTTTTTGCAAGAAAATATGTTTTGCTTTTGATACAAATGTTAATTTTTCTATTTCTAATCATGGGATCCCTTTATCTAAATGGCCATAGTTTCAGACATGTGTTCAACAAACCAGCAGTATGTTTACTCCCACTCTCAAACTGCTGTTTCTTTAGAGGATTGCTGTAATCAATTGCTAATAATAACTAACAGCAGGGCTAAAAAGATGTAGTACATCAAATGCATTTCTTCTGCCTCAAAACTGTCAATACAGACAGTGCTGCGATACCCGGTAATTATGAATTTGTACTCAAATGCAAATAGAGGGAAACTGTCTGCTTTGCTGAGCACATGCTGAATTCTTTTCCAACTACAGGGGGAGTGGTAGCTTATGTTTTGTGCCCCATAGATACAGTATGTGGTGATGTTTTGAATATGGCTATGTGCCTTAATGTATGTTTGATAGTGCTCTGGGTAGAGGTTGTAAAATCAGTTTTACATTACCAGCTGCAAATTCTTGTTTGGCAACTGTAAAAGTGACCCCAGTATAGAGTACATGTTTCAGGGCAACACTATGCCAGTTAGTTTTATTCCCTGCCTAGCCTTCTGCCATTGATTGTTTACCTGAAGTGTTGAAACAGTGAATCTGAGGAATCCTTAGGTTAAATCGACTCTCTCTCTACCCCTCCTTCTTTCTCCAGTCTGTGATTAAAAAAAACACAAAATGGATTTTTCTGATAGACACCCATCACACTGATTTTGACTTTACATTTTTTTACAGCTTAGGGGCTCTAATAAAAGAAGGAGGGGGACGAGACGCACACATACCATTAAGATGAAGTTGTTGACTCGTCGACTTATTGAAGTGTGCAGTTTACATGTCTGTGTTAAATGTGTTGATGTTGAGAGGCACAGTGGAGCAGCTGGCTTCGGCAGTCCCGGAGAGGCTCACGGGAGGAGGCAGAGCACACAATGTCAGCTGCTGGCAGATCCCATCTAACAAAAAAGGATGTTAGAGTAGATCTCGTATACATGACATACATGACATTGATCAAAACGTCCATATACATCAAACTCTTTGGAGATTTAACAGGCTTTCTGCTGGGTGACAGTTATGAGGTGGTGGGAATAAATGACAAAAACATATGAATAAAGTTTTTATAAGAAAATCTAAATTGCATTGTAGTAGGCCTAAAGTATGAATAAACTTATAAATGGTTACATACTATAATATGCTGTCTAAAATAAACTGTGACTGTTACTTGATATTTCTAACAAAATCTGTGATCAGAATCACTTTTTTGCTTCCCCTGACAAGCATTTGAAATCTGGTTTCTTCGTGTTAAAATTCATAGAGTAGGCTAGGTACGGCAGAACTGTTTGAACATTCATCTATTGACCGGTCCACACCTTTTCACAGCCGGTCTCCAAGAGCACCCTGTGATTATCATACTGAATGATAGATTGAAAGAATTTTAGAGGATGCACCAAGACGAGTCGACCTACATCGGGGTGTGTGTTAGGTACAGAGAGCAGGAGGAGAGAGCGATGTGGCAGAGCAGAGGGGAGCTGCTGCTGGATTATGTAAAGCACTCCCACAGCCCAGAAGTCACAGCGCTTCTATCGAAGCTCAAAGCATCTCAGAGATACACAGTCTTTGTTAGCAGAAGGCTTAGCCATTCACTCAGTGGTCCTGCTCCCACAAGATACACCCCGCATGGCAGGTTGCTATGGACAACCGCCGCCACATCCGCTGCCGGAATGTCTATTTGTCTGCACGGAGAGGAGGGTGGGAGGAGGCGTGAGGGAGGACGAATATAGAGGAACAAAAAGAGGAAAAACGAGTTGCTGGTGCTGGTTCAAATTGGCAGTGACTGGTGAGATTTGGCTCGGCAAGGCCCAGTACTCTAGTCCTAGCTTTTAATGGCCTCACAAATAGAGCACTTAACCCTGATTCTCCCTTCATTTAGTCCAGGGGCTGGTCTCGGACAACAGTCTCACACTCTTCCCCTGACCCCCTCTCTCTCAATCCACCTCAGCTCTTCAGTCCCCCCCCAGCCACCAGTGTGCGCCTCATCTCCACCCTGTGTGTGTGAAACTTGCTGCTGAGTCAGTCCTAGCCAAGACCACCTAAGCCAGACCAACAGATTGGTAGCCCACACTTAAACTGAAGCACTCAGATTTGACTGTCCACTGAAGCACATGCCAATGAGGCAGCCTTGAGGCGGTTGGAAAAGGGATAAGGGGAAGGTAGATAAAGGAGTTGAAAAATGAAAATGGGACTTGGATGTAAAGAAAATGCATCACTTTGAAATACATCATCTTTCTCACTACACTCAGTGCATCATCTCATGTACCAACTAACTCTCACTGTGGCTTTCTTAATTGGCTTTACTCATGAATATCCCTTTCAAACAGCAAGCCATCCACTACGGATATTGTTCCTCTATTCAGCCCCTGCCAACTGCAATGTGCTCTGCAAAGGTCTCTGTGCTGTAGAACCCGCTATACAACAGAATGTGTCCTTGGCCTCTAGGCTTTGAATCAAGACATGATCGCTGAGGTCAAGCTGAACTCACTGGACACTGGCCAATCACAAAGCAATAGTTCCATGTTTATGATGCGTGCAATAAAGAGGCTGTGATGATCATAATAAATAACAAGCAAAACAAACAGCTGTTGTCTGGTCGTCCTTCTGTATCTCGTCTGTCCTGCTCAGGAAAAAGTAGTTCAGTGTGTCTGTGCGCAGAGTCTATAGGTTAAATCTCAGCTGAAATCGAAATGTCAAAAGCAAGTGTAGATAGATTCGTCGTGTCAGCAACATTAACAGCCCTTCACCACGACTTTCATACACACACACTGACTCTATTCATGGCGTGTTGTTGGCAAATGTTGAAAGATGTCTCTAACACTGCAGCCTAATATGTTCCCAAAGTGATGGCACTCCAATTAAACCATCTACTGGAGTGCTCCCTGCCTTAGGACAATGTACTCCAGTGTGTAGGCTCACCCTCCTTAAAAAAATAAAGACTGAAAGAAAAAAAATAATTAAAAGAAAGAAACCATGGGGGAAGCATCTGTTAACAGCTTTCTGTTTTAAATTGTCCTCGGCAATGCACAGTGGTCGTTGGAGTGGGGTTTTGTGGAACAGTAAGGGACATTGTTAATACACTTCATGAAAATTCTGCGGATATTAAAGGAAGTAAATGTTTGCCCATCATTCTTGCTCCTGTCTCTTATTTCTAGCTACATCACACTGCCTACAGTTCCTACTTTTGCTGAAGTGGATGTTCACCCTTTTCTTGTAACCAGGCAATGATCACACTCTGGTGGTAGGCTCGGTTCATTACACAAATAACCTTCATACATTATACTGAACTTTACATCCAGTTTCCATCCCCATTAAACTGTTAGGGTGCATGCACGTTTAATTGAGTAAAGTTCCAATACAACGACTTAAAAATACCCCACTTGTAAAAGTCCTGAATTTAAAAGTTTTGTAAGACAAATGTCTTGAAGTATCAAAGGTGAAAGTTCTTTGACTGATTTAGGCTATTTTTTTGGTTGTTAGTGTGTGTGTGCATGTATGTATCTGCTAAACTCACATACTACTGGTACATTTATGACTGAATGCTTAAGAACCTCTCATGGTTGATGTGATTCATAATTTTAATTACTGTGTCTATGATAAATCAGCCATTTTACAACTGTGTTATGAGATAAAGGTATTTCTGGCAATCAGTCTGGTTAAAAAGAAGGCTTACCTAGTCTGTTGCAGGCCACACTTTGGCCTTTGTTGCAGCTCAAAAACATCCAGGTTGCCGGGAGGGACAATTGAGTGAGATGCAACTCATCCTTGTTTGGTACGGAAAGAGAGGGTTTTTATTTTTGTGTGGTGCTTCACAACCAAATGTTCAAAATAAATACAAATATTTGAATTACTTATCGTCCCATTTAGTGTTTCCTTATTAAGTTTATACAGTCAGGCGAACCCAGGATGTTTTAGTTACAATACCATAAAACTATTCCATGGATCTGGGCATTGTTAATACTGATGAGCAATGTGTATGAAGCATTTTACTGTTATGCAGTTAGGGTGACAAATTAGAAATATATTTACATACAAGTTTACATTAGTTGTTTTGGACTTTCTCTAGTCTTTTTTTGTGAATATTGTAGACTTTTATCTGCTTGGATCTCAGAGTTATTTAAATGAAACCACCCGAGAAGTTTACATAGGAAATCTCTTATATTTTGTTGAACTACTAACTCTATTACTACTACCTACCTACCTCATAGACATGTGAAACATTACAACAAACCCCAACTACACACTACTTTATTGAGACGGGTCCCAAGCAAAGAATGTTAACGCATTGTATTATAACTTATAACTATATGTCAGATACATGTATGAAGTAAAAAGTACCTCAAGTACAGTAGCTGAGTAAATTACTTAATTTCAACCACTTTTGGCCAGCAGCAGTTTAGTTAACACTTGTATTCCTCGTTTCTGCTTGTACAGAAGCAAACAAAAATGGATTAAGATTGTAGAATACAATGAGATTAAAGAATTTAAGATGTTTTATCTCAACATGGCTTTGTTTTCCACTGCCCTCTACAGGAAAACCCACTTAAGGCCATTAAAGAGCTGAGCAATGTGAGTCACATGGGCTTAAATAATTGTTTTTTCTTATAAAAAATATACTTATATAGTTATAATCATCAGATAATCATCATTATCAGAAAAACTCCACAAAAAGAAAGTCCCAATACATTTGATCCCGATATGTCATATTGGCTGAAGCCGTTTTAAATATATACAGACACTCTAGTAATTTGTTACACTTAAATTGATGCTCAGACTTGAAGTGATAACTGGATGTTTAATCATTCAGTGTCCCATCAAATGAATAACATTGTGCAGTTCAAGATGTTTTTTCTTAATTTCCTGTTTAAACATGAAATTGATCACACACTGACAATTCATAACTTTTTTTTCACTCAAGCAGTGTAAATGACAACATTCATCTACTGTATATAAATAACCCAAACTATAACATTGGCTATCTCAGTCAATGTAATCATTTCCATGTTTGCAGTATTTTTAGAAGTATTTATCATGTTACATCATCAACTCATTTATCATGAGCTTTGAATCCAAGTAAAACCCTAAAAAGAAGGTAGCTAGTTCTGAACCAGAACTGGTGGTTTGACTTATGTTATTTTGAAAGCAATACATCATGTTAAGATAATGCTAAACTGTCCTCAGCTTGAAGGATATCATATCAGGAGCGAACTCATTTTAGGCCACTGACATATCACAGCTGTTGTATAAAGGCAGGCCAATGCGCCGTACTTTGATAAAATGGTTTAGTAAGCAAAGTGACAGAAGCTTTTAAAGCACTGAATAATTTTGGGCCACACAAGGCATAAATGTTTGGATAGATGAGAAAACGCATAGTTACTCCCACAGTCTAAATATTTAACTCTGTATCAGGAGTTAAATAATTTTTCATCAACAAAATAACAAATTGTGAGCTTTAAATTACAAGTGTTATTCCGCCCTCAGGAAAGCTCAGAGAAATTATCTTTTCGATAAAAACTCTACATGGCTGAAATGCAAGTATATGTAATGACACTTTCTGCAATGTTTGGAATGTATTAAATGTATTTTGTCATTTTGCTACTGAAACCATTGTGACTGATGTGATTTTTCCTTGAGGGGAGCTCCATTTTAAAATGTTACAATGTAAGATGCTCTTATGATGAGGATAAGTATCACTGTAAGAGAACATTTGTCAATGCAAGAAGAAATCTTGTAATTATAAGAAGTTATCATACTAAAGGAAAACGTAAATGTATTTATACATGTAATATGTGGTGCAATATTGACACTGTGTGGTATCATTTGACTTTATGGCTCAATCTAAGAGGTAAAAGAGGAGCAAGAATGCACTTTCACTGCATTTTCAGGAATGATTGGTGGACTTCTGGCTCTAAGCAAAAGTCCCAAAACGTGTTTCATTCAAAATTATTCCAACAATTAAATTGTCTTGCTTGAATCCATTATCCATTTTTCATCCACAATGCCAGTTAGACAGCTCCGTCTCCAAGCCCTTCAGTAGATTAATCAAAAGAATCGGTTGACAAGGGAATCAAACTGGCTCCACTTATACATAAATACATCATAATTTATTTGACACACATGGAAAGTCAACACCACAACCTCATCCGAAATATATGACATCTTCATTTTCAATCGGTCAGCAGAACACTTCTCCTCATTACAATCAACTACGCAACAGAACAAACAGAAGATAGAGGCTTTATATGGCCAGAATAAAGCAGTCTGTGTAGATGTCTATGGGAGATGGACGCACACACTCACCATAGTGATCCTAAAAGTAAATTACACCATGGCTGTCTAAAGAAATATTGACACTACACAGACTGAAAATAATATAAACAGAACAGTCAAATAGGTCCTTGTCTTACCCTGAGCTCTATGAACAGTTTGAATCAGAATATAACCAGGAGGATTCTATCACACACTCTTGCTTCACAGTACTAGGCTCTGTCATACCAAGCTTTAAGGCCACCATGTTCATGTGACTTATCTGAACCTGGCTCTAGGTGCATGATGTGTGCGTGTGTATGTGTGTAGGTACACACAGTTGGTATTCCAGGTACCACAGCTCATAATTGGGGTGGTTGGTTAAAGGGGTTGTGCAGTGGAAAGTCTCTTGAGGGTCTGATCTCTCCCCTCACTCCCACTCCACCTCTAGCTCCACACCAACGCTTTCGAATGAGATGAGTTTAGCTGCACATGTTCATACTTCTCTCCGTTTCCCTAAAATAAACAACAAACATAATCATTTTGCAATTGTGAACTTACTTACTGTAAAAGTAAAATGATGCTGTGACTCTCACCTTGGATGCTATGGCTTTGAGTTTGCCAAGTAGAGAAGGTTTTGTGTACACAATTTCATCCTCCATGTCTCCCTCGTTCTCTCCCTCCATCACAGCACAGCTGTCAGCTCCTGGCATTTCACACTCCTTATTGGCAGACATCACCAACCGGGAGTACTTGTACTCCAGCCTAGCAAACAAACAAGCCATAGAATCAATACTGTAGGAAGAAAAACCTGGAGACAAATATTGTCCTATATACTGACTGTGACGTTACAAGAAAGGAATGGCAGAAGAGATGTGATCAAACAATGGGAGTTTGGAAGATACAGTAGGAAAGGAAGAAAGAGGCTGGGAAAGTAAGGAAAGAGAGAAAATATGGGAAGACCAAAAGGAAGGAAGAATGGAAGGATAATGAGAAGGAAAATTGGCATTAGGAGAAGAAAAAATAATCAGGAGGGAAAGAAGAAAAAACAGGAGGAATAGAGGGGATAGGGAAAGAAGTAAAGAGATGAGGAGGGATGAAGTTACGAAGGAATACAGGAAGGAAGTAGAGTAGGAAAACAAAAAAGAAAGCAAAGAAGGAGGGAAGCAAGGACAAAGAGAGAAAAATAAAATACATTTGTAAGGATGAAGGTGGCATGAGGAAAGAAGAGAGAAAGTGATGGGGGGAGGGGGGCACAGGAAGACAAAAGGAAGGACCAGTGAGGGGGGAAGAAAGGTAGTAGGGGTGATAGTAAAGAGATAAGGAGGGGGTGAAG